CCAGAGAGCCTGTTCTACACCAGACCAGTGGAGCCAGACTGCAGCTAGAGCCCATCATCATCCTCATCTGGTTGTAAGTTGGCAATCTAGTATATTATTCGTGGCACTAATCTCTAATTTACCTCACATTAAAGAAACACTATAGTCCCCAGAACCACTGCAGCTTAATGCAGTGGTTCTGGTGTCTATAGCCACTCCCTGCAGGCTTTATAATGTAAACACACACTGTGTGCAGCACTGGCGTTAGTTCATATGGCAGATCATATGGGTGGGGCATTGCGATGTCACGGGGGGGGGGGATTTTTATTTTGCCTAGGGCGGCAAAAATCCTTGCACCGGCCCTGGCTACATGGCCCACACCTGAGTTCGCTCACAGGGAGCGGAGTGTATGTGTTTAAGGGATGTGTTATTGTAGAGGATGTAATGTGTGTGTGTTCTTATGTAGTGTATAGGAATACCAGTTTGTGTACGGGATGAAGTGTGTGTGTGTGTGTGTGTGTGTGTGTATAGGGGATGCAGTGTGTTTGTATGTAAGGGATAGAAAGCAGTGTGTGTTTGTGTATAATGAATGCATTGTGTGTGTGTGTGTGTGTGTGTGTGTGTGTATCCTGCGCCCCCAGAGCCGGTGCGCCCTAAAGGACACGCCGGCCCTGGTGTCAGCCACCCGCCCCGCGATGCACACCCTGGTGCGGTCCACACTCCCTGCACCCCCATTGTGACGCCAATGAATGATGAGATGCTGATTGGCCAGGACAGTGTTTGGCTCCGCACCCTTCCTCGCCTCCTTCATCAGAATTGACAATCGTAGCCAATTTACTATGGGTGTCCATCTCCTCACAGAGATGCGTTGAATCAATGCATTTCTATGAGGAGTGTTCAGCGTGAATGCTAGTGCTGCATGTTGTGCAACACTGGACTAGGAAGCACCTCCAGTGGCCGCCTGATAAGGTATTCCTCGGCAGTAATGTAAATACTGCCTTTTTCTGAAAAGGCAGTGCGCTTACATTAAAAAGCCTGCAGAGACATGCTATAAACACCAAAACTATTACGTTTAGCCGTTGTGGTTCTGGTGACTATAGTGTCACTTGAATATAGAGGGAAAAAAAGAATCATCGCAAATGTATGAAATAAAAATGTCTATCATTATTCTAAAAAAAATTTTTTGTTGTAAACAATGTGCAGATAGTACTGTACTAATGATATCCCTGGCTGGATGGGAGCATTCCATGTGCTCAGCATGGTATCCCTGGTTAGATGTGAGCATTCCATGTGCTCAGTATGATATCCCTGGCCGGATGTGAGCATTCCATGTGCTCAGTATGATATCCCTGGTTAGATGTGAGTTGCATCGCTGGAAGTGGGGTCTGCAGTGCTGATGGTGTCGGTTGGAGTCCTCAGCGAGCACTAGGAGCATCGATTGGCAGAGGTACTCAGTCGGAGTGCCAGCGTTCCGTCACACATTCCATGTCCTCAGTATGGCATCCCTGGCTAGATGTGAGCATTCCATGTGCTCAGTATGATATCTCTGGCTAGATGTGATCATTCCATACCTGGTTAGATGTGAGCATTCCATGTGCTCAGTATGGCATCCCTGGCCAGATGTGAGCATTCCATGTGCTCAGTATGATATTCCTGGTTAGATGTGAGCATTCCATGTCCTCAGTATGGCATCACTGGCTAGATGTGAGCATTCCATGTGCTCAGTATGGCATGCCTGGCTAGATGTGATCATTCCATACCTGGTTAGATGTGAGCATTCCATGTGCTCAGTATGATATCCCTGGTTAGATGTGAGCATTCCATGTCCTCAGTATGATATCCCTGGCCAGATGTGAGCCTTCCATGTGCTCAGTATGATATCCCTGGCTAGATGTGAGCATTCCATGTGCTGCTCAGTATGGCATCCCTGGCTAGATGTGATCATTCCATGTCCTCAGTATGGCATCCCTGGCTAGATGTGAGCATTCCATGTGCTGCTCAGTATGGCATCCCTGGCTAGATGTGATCATTCCATGTCCTCAGTATGGCATCCCTGGCTAGATGTGAGCGTTCCATGTGCTCACTATGGCATCCCTGGCTAGATGTGAGCTTTCCATGTGCTCAGTATGATATCCCTGGCTAGATGTGAGCATTCCATGTGCTCAGTATGATATCCCTGGTTAGATGTGAGTTGCATCGCTGGAAGTGGGGTCTGCAGTGCTGATGGTGTCGGTTGGAGTCCTCAGCGAGCACTAGGAGCATCGATTGGCAGAGGTACTCAGTCGGAGTGCCAGCGTTCCGTCACACATTCCATGTCCTCAGTATGGCATCCCTGGCTAGATGTGAGCATTCCATGTGCTCAGTATGATATCTCTGGCTAGATGTGATCATTCCATACCTGGTTAGATGTGAGCATTCCATGTGCTCAGTATGGCATCCCTGGCCAGATGTGAGCATTCCATGTGCTCAGTATGATATTCCTGGTTAGATGTGAGCATTCCATGTCCTCAGTATGGCATCACTGGCTAGATGTGAGCATTCCATGTGCTCAGTATGGCATGCCTGGCTAGATGTGATCATTCCATACCTGGTTAGATGTGAGCATTCCATGTGCTCAGTATGATATCCCTGGTTAGATGTGAGCATTCCATGTCCTCAGTATGATATCCCTGGCCAGATGTGAGCCTTCCATGTGCTCAGTATGATATCCCTGGCTAGATGTGAGCATTCCATGTGCTGCTCAGTATGGCATCCCTGGCTAGATGTGATCATTCCATGTCCTCAGTATGGCATCCCTGGCTAGATGTGAGCATTCCATGTGCTGCTCAGTATGGCATCCCTGGCTAGATGTGATCATTCCATGTCCTCAGTATGGCATCCCTGGCTAGATGTGAGCGTTCCATGTGCTCACTATGGCATCCCTGGCTAGATGTGAGCTTTCCATGTGCTCAGTATGATATCCCTGGCTAGATGTGAGCATTCCATGTGCTCAGTATGATATCCCTGGTTAACCCCTCTATCCACCCGTCCCTAATCGTCTCCCCTCCAACCACCTAGCCTCCTAACCCCCATAAAACAAATAATATATTTTCTTGTACTTACAGTACTGAAGACACCAGCAGTGCTCTGGGCTCAGGGTTCAGGGCTGAAAGCGTGAGGCGCTGTTCTGCAGTTGTAGGAGACCGGGGCTCACCCTAGCGTTGCCGTGACTCCACGTGACATCATGGAACGCGCGTACGCAGAGGGCAAGGGAGGTCGGGAGGAGGAGCAAACAAAGTCCTTTAATATGCTGCGATGCCGAATAGTGGAGGATTGAATCCGATCAGGATTTGAGAGGGAACATTTTTAGCATATTATTGTGGGCAGCGGGGCTCAAGAGGCTTGAGCTGCTTTGGCCCCCCAGGAGCAACTGGGCCCAGGCAGCTGCCTCTTTTGCCCCGTGTTAATGGCTGCCCTGACTTAGGGTGACCACATTTCCTAACTGCCATTTAGGGACACTTACTACCCCCTCTACCCCTTCCATTCATATTACTACCCTATCCCTTCTGTTCATATTACTAGCCCCCCATACCTCTTGCGTTCATATTACTACCCCCCCATACCCCTTCCTTCCATATTACTACCCCCCCATACCCCTTCCATTCATATTACTACCCCCCATACCACTTCCGTTCATATTACTACCCCCTATACCCCTTCTGTTCATATTACTGCCCCATACTGCTTCCCGTTCATATTGCTACCCCTATACCCCTTCCATTCATATTACTACCCCATACCAGTTCCGTTCATATTACTTTCCCACCCCCTACTTCGTGCATATTACTACCGCCCGCAGCTGCTTCCATATTACTACCCCCCCATACCCCTTCCATTCATATTACTACCCCCCATACCACTTCCGTTCATATTACTACCCCCCTACTGGTTACTGGTTTGCTTATTGAGGCTTGGTAGTGCTTGGGAAGCAAAATCCAAATAGGTTATGGTGGAGGGTGTTTTCAATCACAATTTTTCCCCACCATAACCTATTTGGATTCCAAAATGAAAAATGTAACATGCTAGATTTGACCCTGTAACTTCCCAAAACACCATAAATCCTGTACATAGGGGGTACTGTTTTAAACGTGAGGCATCGCTGAATACAAATATGTGCATTTTATTGCAGTAAAATCAAACAGTATTATGACATTCACAGTTAGAATGTCACGTAGAGCTAAACCTTTCTTGTATTTTAATTCTTATTTTCTCCCATTTTTTTACATTTTATTCATATTAAATTGTTTCATAGCTAAATATTTGATGTTAAATGGAAGCCCTGTTCCCCCTGAATAAAATGATATATAATAAGTTTGGGTGCACATAATATGAAAGAGGTGAATTACGCCTGAACAGACATATAGCGCAAATTCAAATTTTTTTTACGTTTTGTTTTGATCACAACGTGTACATTTGGCTCAGTCCTTAAGGGGTTAAGAGCCGACCCGGCCCCTGTAGTTTTAGCTGGCTGGGAGGAAGTGACAGATGATCACTTCCTCCCAGCTTCAGAAGAGAGTACCTAGGGAGGAAGGAGGCAGCAAGAGGTAGTAGCATGGGGAGGAGAGGCAGGAATGATATAGCGCAAATTCAAATTTTTTTTACGTTTTGTTTTGATCACAACGTGTACATTTGGCTCAGTCCTTAAGGGGTTAAGAGCCGACCCGGCCCCTGTAGTTTTAGCTGGCTGGGAGGAAGTGACAGATGATCACTTCCTCCCAGCTTCAGAAGAGAGTACCTAGGGAGGAAGGAGGCAGCAAGAGGTAGTAGCATAGTGTTTATTTTATGTTTTAATTCTTTATTTTTGTTGTGCATTACATATAACAGTACCAGCTTGCCTTTCCACAGCAGCATCAGCATGCACAAGAATTATACATAAAGGAGAACGGTGTGGCTTCCAGAAAACAAACTTTTTATAATTTTAGTTAATTAGCTTGTAAATGAGTATAACAGGATAAACGAAAAGACATATCATATGCATTGGTGATAGGTATAGCAGGCTTGACATTTAGGTGAAGAAACCACTGGGTACTTAATAGTATTAAATGGTGACAAAACACAGTAAGTATTGCTGCAAAGAAATGCATGGTATAGGCCCCATGGAAACCACTGTAGGAGTCCACCCGATGGCCATCTGACAGTATTCCCCACAGCGGTAATGTGTGAGTCCCATGGATCCCAGCTAGTCTCCACTTAGATCCATGTCACCATTCCTATTGCTCCAGGTATGTCTAGTGACCAGAGTAGGGTCCCAGTAGCCTTCCCTAGATTGCAGCCTTATGTGCAGACCTGTGGCCTCCTCAGGATAGGGTGATGTCCCTGTACGGACTGTGGTGCAGTTAGGTGGTGGTGTAGCGGGAACTGGTGGGCTGGCACTGAGACACTTTCAACCGCTGCCCTGTCGATGTGGGCGTCTTGAGGTTATAAGTATGCTTGGCTTGGTTCAGCCCAGGATTGTGCCCATAGTTTGTGTAGGGCCAGTATGAACTTCTCTTTCCAGGATATCTGTAGAACATGGGCAGCTGGTGGTTAAAAGCCTTATTACCTTAAAGTGCCAGGAAAATGGCCTTGTTTCCTGGCGCTATATAAGATCCATTTAACAGGACATTTCATTTATGGAACATCATTTACTGCACTTCAAACACACATTACTGGGAGTTTTATTACTGTGGAGCTCTGTGATACCCTCATACACACTGCCCATTACTGGGAGTTTTATTACTGTGGAGCTCTGTGATACCCTCATACACACTGCCCATTACTTGGAGTTTTATTACTGTGGAGCTCTGTGATACACTCGTACACACCGCACATTACTGGGAGTTTTATTACTGTGGAGCTCTGTGATACACTCATACACACTGCCCATTACTGTGAGTTTTATTACTGTGGAGCTCTGTGATACACTCATACACACTGCACATTACTGTGAGTTTTATTACTGTGGAGCTCTGTGATACACCCATACACACTGCACATTACTGTGAGTTTTATTATTGTGGAGCTCTGTGATACTCATACACACTGCACATTACTGGGAGTTTTATTACTGTGGAGCTCTGTGATACACTCGTACACACCGCACATTACTGGGAGTTTTATTACTGTGGAGCTCTGTGATACACTCATACACACTGCACATTACTGTGACTTTTATTGCTGCGGAGCTCTGTGATACACTCACACACTGCACATTACTGTGAGTTTTATTACTGTGGAGCTCTGTGATACACTCACACACTGCACATTACTATGAGTTTTCTTGCTGTGGAGCTCTGTGATGCACTCACACTGCGCATTGCTGTGGAGCTCTGTGATATATTTTGAGCTGCTAGAAATGACAGATGGGTTTACAGAGGAGTATATGGTTTTTGCTCTCGGAGGGGACAATGTTGCATTTTGTGTGTTTACTCCTTATTGTCTCTGTGTTCATTGTTGTCTTGTGCAACGAAAACAGCAACAAGCTTGCTCTCCGGCACACAATTCCCGGCTATTTACTTGGCAAACAAGAGATGCCTTGCCAAGGACAGAGTACTTATTCCAGGCAGAGGTTTAACCTTATTTAAATAATTGTCAGGGTAATGGAATTATCTAATTCTTGTTTGTGTTGTGGGTTATCTTATCGTCTGATATTGTTATGTAACCAAGTGTTAAATGGGCTAATATATCCACTTGGTGACCAGTAGTGACATTGCTAAGATGACAATCTGAAAGTCATTCCAGGGAGGAGGTGAAACTCATTTATAAATCTGGCCTACTTTTCATTGCATCAATTTACACAGCGCTTCAATTAAAACAATACGAGACACAGGATCGGCTGCAAAATCTCAGACAGCTGCTGGTCTTCGCAAAAGCTGCCAGATTTGCCAGAAAAGGGAAGTTCAGAAGTCTCTTTTTTACCCTTTTTATAGCATTATCTCCAGCCTTGACCTACTGTATGTGTTGACTGGGTGTAACTGGTGCTGGTAGACATCTCAGACCTACAGGTGATAAAATCTATAACTGTCAGTGTCACATTTAACCCCTTCAGGACAAGGGATTCAGCAAATCCTCTGATATAATTTATTAATACTGGCAATTATAAAGTGACAACGTACCGTATACACAAAAGGTAGAGAAGGCCATATCTGTGAGCTGAGATCCAGCCTTCGAAGCTCTTTATACAAGTGTTTAGTTAGATAGCCTGTGAGCGTACCATCTAAAAGGATAGAATGGGGATTTGGAAGTAATGGCCTAAGGAAGTTAACGAAGAATTGCAGCTACTGGTAAAATATTAAGGGAGTGAGGAGGTAATTGATTTAGATCTCAAACAGCTAGGTGATTTTGCTATACATTTAGTAGGAACCAGGGTGGGCAGCAAGTTCTGAAAATGAAGAGATTCACTATTTCTTGGATCCAAGTGTGTGAAATGAGACCTTAGTAACCGGGATGGAGATGAGACACAGTTCTGGTATATCATCTGTCATGAAGGGGTTACAGAGACTTTACCCTGCCAAAATAGAATATATATACATACATATATTAAAAATAGAAAACATGCATTTAGTTATGCACCTTTTTGGAGTTATACCTAAAAAAAGATTTCTGATTTCTCGTCTGCAGCCTTTGTAAGCCTCCCCTTGTAATCCTCCCAGACTTTCTGTGACTGTCCAATCACAGACTTCCCAATGCAGCTCAATGAGAAGTCTTTGCAAGGCAGGTGCTCTGGGCACCTGCTGCATCCTTAGTTTATCTTCACTAAACAAACCAGGAAGTAACAGGACCAGTTGTCTGATTGACAGCCAGGGGGGTGTAACCAGGTTAATTCATAAAAATGTACATTTCTATTTGCATCTGCAGTTTATGTAAAATTAAAAAGAGAGGACACACTCTTCACACGTAAAGTATTCAGCAAGTTAAACTGCTTTATGGAAGCATCACTGATTTAATACAGTTAATTTTGGTGGTCTAACAGGATCCAGACAGATCAGTACGTGTCTGTGGGTCAGAATTAAGGTAGGTTAACGGTAAGAAGCACTCACTCATCTGCAGCATTCTAGGTAGGACGCACTCTGAGAATGCAGGCAGCATGAAAGTATGCACTCAATTCTGCCTCGATTTTCAGTCCCGACTCCTACATTTATTCCCTAAACCTCGGACTCAAAGCATTGATCTGTGACCTCTGTGTGGCATGTGCTGCGTTTGGTCTTTGTCAGCAGTGGGGGCCACGGTTTCCCACAATGCACCAGATAGGCACCATCCTGGGATGGATTGCCTCACTAGAACCTGACCTGTTATTAATAATATTACTATTTAAAGCGTGCTAACAGTCACGCAGCACTCTAGCCGAGCACAGTTACTTTCAGAGGTTTCAGTTCATCCCCCTGACTAATTTTTCCCGCTCATATTTCATGAATGAACCGATGAAGACATCATCGTTATGCAAATCCTGTAACTGGGAACCAGACATTTCACCTGTGGATATAATTATAGCCACCTAAAAATAGTAAACCTGTCTGATTAACATGCGACAAGCTGCAGCTCCGCATTGTTTGCTGTGAGAAAGTATGTTGTTTCTTTTTTCACAATCTGATGACGTCACAAGGTTTCCAGCCAATTTTTTGTAGTATGTGTGGAACTGCACTCACTCCCATCAATCTGAGCCAGGGTGCTTGCTGTACCGGAACCAAACACCAGATTCCCAATTTTGTAGAGTAAAATGAAAGAGGTCCAGGCACTCCTTGGTTCAAGACAGGCACTTTATTGGAACCAAAGCAGCAACGTTTCGACCCAAGGGTTTCCAGCCAAGACTCATTATTATGGAACTGCCCCATGTAACATCCAAACAGCTTTTTCATCTCTTACATTGGGGTATTAAGCAGGGGCAAACCTGTGACCTGCACCCCATGTTCTCCTTCCTTGCCACCATGCTATGGGTAGGAAAACATAACTCCCAAGTGTCCCTATTTCAGAGGGAGAGTCCCTATTTTGGGGGTAAACACCTGGAGATACACTGCATGCAGGTATAAACTAGGAGCACTCTCACTGTGAATGTGGGTACTCTATATCTGGGGGCACACTGCATGTATGTGGGTATTATCTGGGGGCACTCTCCAGTATTATCTGGGGGACACTCTGCATGTGAGTATTATCTAGGGGCACTTTGTGTGTGGGTATTATCTGGGAGCACTCTGTGTGTGGGTATTATCTGGGGGCACTCTGTATGTGGGTATTATCTGGGGGCACACTGCATGTGGATATTATCTAGGGGCACTCTGTATGTGGGTATTATCTAGGGGAAGTTTGTATGTGGGTATTATCTGGGGGCACTCTGTATGTGGGTATTATCTAGGGGCACTCTGTGTGTGGGTATTATCTGGGGGCACGCCTGGGAGCTGTATGTGGGTATCTACTCTGTGTGTGGGAGCACTCTGCATGTGGGTATTATCTGGGGGCACTATGTGGGTATTATCTGGGGGCACTCTGTATGTGGGTATTATCTAGGGGCTCTGGGGGCCGTGTGTGGGTATCTAATGTGGGTATTATCTGGGGGCACTCTGTGTGTGGGTATTATCTCTGTATGTGGGTATTATCTATCTGTATGTGGGTATTATCTAGGGGCACTCTGTGTGTGGGTATTATCTGGGGGCACGCTGTATGTGGATATTATCTAGGGGCACTCTGTATGTGGGTATTATCTAGGGGAAGTTTGTGTGTGGGTATTATCTGGGGGCACTCTGTATGTGGGTATTATCTAGGGGCACTCTGTGTGTGGATATTATCTCTGTATGTGGGTATCTGGGAGCACTCTGTGTGTGGGTATTATCTGGGGCACTCTGTATGTGGGTATTATCTGGGGGCACACTGCATGTGGATATTATCTAGGGGCACTCTGTATGTGGGTATTATCTAGGGGAAGTTTGTATGTGGGTATTATCTGGGGCACTCTGTATGTGGGTATTATCTAGGGGCACTCTGTGTGTGGGTATTATCTGGGGGCCTGTATGTGGGTATTATCTGGGGCACTCTGTATGTGGGTATTATCTGGGGGCACTCATCTGTGTGTGGGTATTATCTAGGGGCACTCTGTGTGTGGGTATTATCTGGGGGCACTCTGTATGTGGGTATTATCTGGGAGCACTCTGTGTGTGGGTATTATCTGGGGGCACTCTGTATGTGGGTATTATCTGGGGGCACACTGCATGTGGATATTATCTAGGGGCACTCTGTATGTGGGTATTATCTAGGGGAAGTTTGTATGTGGGTATTATCTGGGGGCACTCTGTATGTGGGTATTATCTAGGGGCACTCTGTGTGTGGGTATTATCTGGGGGCACGCTGTATGTGGGTATTATCTGGGAGCACTCTGTATGTGGGTATTATCTGGGGGCACTCTGTGTGTGGGTATTATCTAGGGGCACTCCGTGTGTGGGTATTATCTAGGGGAAGTCTGTGTGTGGGTATTATCTGGGGGCACACTGTATGTGGGTATTATCTGGGGGCACTCCGTGTGTGGGTATTATCTAGGGGAAGTCTGTGTGTGGGTATTATCTGGGGACACTCTGTGTGTGGGTATTATCTGGGGGCACTCCGTGAGTGGGTATTATCTGGGGGCACTCTTTATGTGGGTATTATCTGGGGGCACTCTATGTGGGTATTATCAAGGGGCACTGTGTATGTGGGTATTATCAAGGGGAAGTTTGTGTGTGGGTATTATCTGGGGGCACTCTGTATGTGGGTATTATCTGGGGCACTCTGTATGTGGGTATTATATGGGGGCACTCTGTATGTGAGTATTAGCTGGGGGCACTCTGTGTGTGGGTATTAGCTGGGGCACTCTGCGTGTGGGTATTATCTAGGGGCACTCTGTGTGTGGGTATTAGCTGGGGCACTCTGTGTGTGGGTATTATCTAGGGGCACTCTGTATGTGGGTGTTATCTGGGTATTCTCAACACACTGGAAGCTGCATTCCTTGTGTATTCTATCTACCCCTGACACAGTAATATAAGTACATTTTTGACGAGTTCTGTTGTGTATTTGTACCCATTGGACAGACTCAGGAATTCCATTTCATGACTAATTACTTGTTTAATCCAGATTCCAGCGCATCTGTCATTGTATCTCAGCCTGATTACTCATTAGATAAAAACGCGTGTGTTTGGATCATGCAAATACTTTCTGTAATCCACAATAAGCACTGTATTAAGTGCTTTACTCTGCACATGGCCCCAGAGATGCTCCCCCTTCCTCTTGCTATGGGAACAGTTCTGCATCGTTTGCAAACTCTTTAATACCATTTATCCTACTTCTCTTCTAGAGATTGGGCTGATTAAGTGCTTTGGGGCAGTTGAGCCCAATTGCATAGTGTACGATACATATGCTATTATTGGCAACCATCTCCAGATTCCAGCGGCAGGTGGGGCGAGTATCAAATACAATCCTTCTGTGAAATGCGAAAGGGCCCAGCTGACAGAGGGAGTGCTTTGCCCAGAGCACATTGTTGGAGGAGATAATTTTGCTATGATAATGTCACAGACACCCCAGGTTGTATAACATTATCCTTTCCTAACCTGATACAGAAGGAGAACGGTCAATAGTTCAAATTCACGTAAACGTTTCACATCCTCATCCAACTGGAGATGCTTGTTAACCTTTTTCCAACAATACCCCAGCATTAAATGTACTTTATACTACAACGCAGAGTAACACAGACCTGTGATTATCACCAAATAGTCTTTCCTAAATTAAATCTAAAACAACAGGGTCGTTATATCAAAGTTTTGCCAACATTTTTCCATCTACAGTAAGTTTTGGCAAATGTTTGGTGCAATTTTTTAAATCTGTTGGATTGTTTTCATCTTCTGCTTTTTCTCGGTCCTCAATTACCATTTTTTTGAATATGCACCATTTTTCATCCACGCAAGAGATTTATGAATATTTCCAACAGCAAAGTGGCGGGTTATTTCCATCACTATAAATATATCAGTCTGTCCATATGGCTATTTCTACAAAAACTGTTGAAATTTACTATGAGGAAACTTTTAAGATAACTTTAATAAATAGGATAATGTGACAAACTAAGCCTCGTCATGTGTTCTTGGAGGTGCCTGCTTGCCAGCCTCCTGCCAAAAGACTATGTAAAGACCCATATTTTATTCCCCCTGGTTCCCCTGGTTCGGCACTCTCCATAGAACCGAACGCTTGCTCACTGGCGGCCGTTCGCATGGACCAAAACCGCAAATAGACTTCAGGGGAACTTAGCCGCGAATGCCCTAGAGGTATTTTTGTCATGAAAACTTTGCGGTTCCTGGTCGGTCCCCCAGCGGCACTTAGCCGCGATTCTATGGAACTGTTTTTGGCATGGGACCATGCGTGCGGTCGGCCAAAACTATGACTTCCAGGAAATTTCTGAAAATCTGGGTGATTTTTAGATGTGTTGTTCACCCAGATCGGGGCTATCAGGAGATGTAACTTTTGTGTGTTTTAGGGCACTTTTGGGGTGTTTGGAAAATGTGTGTTTTTTTGTGTTTGGAGATAATTGAGTTTAGTATCGTGCTTGACTCAATTATCTCCCAGGCATAGGGGAGGGATTATCTGATTTTGTATGAGAGTATCCTGGACCTGAGCGCCAATGTGATTGTGTATTTGTTTCTACTGTAGTCTACACTCGGGTACAGGGGGAGTGCCCCTGGCACTGGAACTGTCATAAAAGGCCAGTTGTGGCTGCCATTAAACGAGATTCATTTTACCCTTCATTTAGTCTAAGCTCATGTATGGGGGATTGGAGAGTTAAATTCACGCTCTGCGGATTGCTATAATCACTATACTCCCTTGGATCATAACGATTGCTCTTGTAAGAGCAGCCTGCTTCGCTTGTTGGACTAGGAGAGGTCTACCCACTGGAAGCTGGGTCCTGGTCTTAGGTCCAGGGTGGGTGGTGGACAGCGAGACCCCCAACCAAGCTGCGGCGGTTTGGGGGGATTTACGGTGGTTATGGTGTTACAGTGCAGTGCTTATGGTGCTCACAAGTACTAGGAAGCAGTGATTGACGGAGGTACCTGGTCAGGGTGCCAGGCGGTCCATCACAGATAATAATGTCAGAAATTAAAACTTGAATAATCCCACAATATTCCCAAAATAGCAAAGTTTTATTCATCTAATCAAGCGATAGTAAGTTAAACCTGAATCATCAGTAGAAAATATGTTGGAGTGGAGGCTGCCATCTTGGAATTGTATCACATCATTTTAAATTCACTTTGAAATACTGACAATTCTCACTAGTGAATACCTGCTAACGTTTTCTGACTATTATTCTCAAATATCTGCAGACGCAGTACTGTAGTAGAAAGCCACAGCTGTTTAAAATATATTCTTATACATTATCCCTAAGCAATGCTCCAAATATTTTTCCTGTCTTGGGTAAGATGCTTGTAGTCATATTCTGGCTAAGATTTTAAACCCCTCTATGGGGAACGGGGTGGGGCGAGGGGGGGGATCTTTACACCAATATTTCGGCAGGGTTAATAGAAAATGAACATGACTAGAATGAATTATCTGCCTATATTCACGGTTTATACCGCCAACAATGTTGCGTTTTAACTCTCCAAGTACTGGGAAGAGCTGGGGAGCTTAATGCATTGGGAGCTCTGTGACGTTGAATGGGTGAAGTGGCACATTTTCAAATCCTGGGGTCTCCCAAAATGGAAAGCCTGTGTAAAAGGACCAGAAACGTTCAAAACATGATCCGGTAAAAATGTCATCTTTATTTCATAACATCGTGGGAAATAGAGAGTTTGAAGAAGTCTGCATGAATCATTACTTACTGCACTCCAAATGTACAGAGTTATCCCTGCTGAACTGACATATTTTGGGATATATTCTTAAATTTCGAAATTGTGGAGATATGACATGGGGGATAAATGCACATTTTAGGCCAAAATAGTTGAGCTAGGGAATTTTTCCTGATGGGCTAATTTGTCCTAAAATGTGACCAGTTTAATAATAACTAAATCCTGGCTATGAGATATTTTATTACATTTAGAGTATTCATTATCTCATGTCTGATAAACAGATGTCAGATTTTGTCATTGCTGACAACAATAAATTCAGTCTGGGTTTAATAACACTCCGGCATGTAATAACAACAAGGAATTCTTAGAATCACTTTTTTTTCTGTGGATTCTGGAATAATAAGAGATTTGTACAAAGTCAGTTTATTATCCATATTCTTAACATAACTACGTAAATTATAAACCTGAATGAATATTATTGATTCAACTCTTGCGTGGATGCAAGGAGTGTGTGAATATAGTGCATGCACTGTGTGTGTGATGTAGGGTGTATGTAGTGGGTTTTATTTAGACATTTTAAAAAAAATGTTTTATTTTGTTCCCTCCCTCCTTGCTTTTTACCCGTGGCCAGGGAGGGGGGACATTACACTCCCTGGTGGTCCGGTGGTATAGTGCAGACTCTTGCTTGGTATATAGTGATGAGGGGGACCCAGACTCCATGTTATACCTCAAGCAGCCGGGCAGCAGCACCTCTCCCTGTCTTGCAAGCCCTGCATGCATTGCCATGGAAAACCGCTGCAACGTTTAGATAGCGGGGTCTCGCGACAAGACCCTGCCAGATGTGGATTCTGGAGTCTCCTGAGCCTTCATTATACTACACAGCAGCAGCCACAGTGCATATATATAGTGCTAATCGATATATATATATATATATATATATACATACATTCATTGCACTCTGGACTTTCAGGACCAGGGGGGCAGGCCTCAAATGCTCCTAGGCAGGCCATGAGTACCGAAGCTGTCAGATGGACCCCCAGGCCAGTGGCAAATGGTCACTGTGACAGATCGCCTAGCACCCTGACCGAGTACCTCCGTCAATCGCTGCTTCCTAGTACTTGCGAGCACCATAAGCAATGCACTGGAACACCATAAACACCTGTGAGTAAACCACAGTAGAAAAAAATACACAATTACATTGGCTCTCAGATCCAGGACACTCCCATACAAAATCAGATAATCCCTCCTCTGTGCCTGGGAGATAATCGAGTCAAACATTATACCAAACTCAATTATCTCCAAACACAAAAAACACACATTTTTTACAAACCCTCCAAAAATACCGTAAAACACACAAAATCCCCAGTTACATCCCCTGATAACTCTGATCTGGATGACCAACATATCCAAAAATCACCCAGATCAGTTCAGGGGTTCAGGAATTTCCTGGAAGTCTTAATTTTGACCGACCGCAGGCATGGTCCCATGCCCAAAACAGTTCCAGGGAATCAGAACTTGCGGTCGGTCTAGTTCAGTAGTTTAACAACGAACAAACTACCGAACGGAGTCAATAGTCTTACCCTGGAGCTTGATCCAGACGAATGATCTCATCGAATAGTATCCTTCTAAATTGTATAGAAACGAATGCAGGTGATGATGGAAATCCAGCGGTGTTCGGGAGTTTCTGTGTCCGATTTTAGTTCCATGAGATTCATGCCCAAACACCGCTGCCTGCGTTAATGCGAACAGGAGGAACTGCGGCCACCCAGATGAACAATTAGAACACTGCGGTGAGAACTGTTCCAAGGTGTTAATAGGTGTTAACAAGCTCCAGGGTGGTCTCTGGTTCGTGCGGTTGTTCGGTAGTCGAACGGGACAATGTTAGAATAGGAGGGTAATCTACCAAACAGAATAGCAAAAAGGCACGAACAAGGTCTTTTATGAGCCTTTTTGCATGGCCCATAGTCCTGAGGTAAGAGGCTGGCCAGCAGGCCCCTCCAAGAACACATTATGAGGCTCAGTTCGTCACAGTCACGATTATCACACCCTGATGGCGGACCTGCTTAGGGCTGTGGGAATTGACAAAACTTTGTCTAATGATATTATGACTGTGTTAGAATTTCAATGAAATTCCAAGTCAGACTTTATGAGCATTTCATAACGGTTTTATCTTCATGAATTACTAAAATTATTTGTGGGGGTGACAGATGTTTTAAGGATGAATTGATATGGTGTGCTAAATTAAACCTTTTAATCATTAATTCATGATATATGTAAATAAGTGAACAAATTCATTCTAGTTTCACGTATATATCTGTATATATAAAACATTGCCTTGTGATGTCTGCAAATTGCTAAATTGAGGCTAAAAGCTGAGCTGATGATGTGACTATCATAGTGTTGGAGAATTTGCATATATTCAGTTTGACGGTTTTAGCCTAAATGTTGCATCTGGTTTTCAATTCACTACAATAATTCTCTGGTGGATGAACCCGTATAGTATTCAGAAGGGATCTCAAACTTCTCCCGCCAGAGTTTATTGGCCTACAACTCCATAAATTCTTTGAATTCAAAATATGGACAAACAGTCATGGGAGGTGTAGTTCTAAAGCATAGTGAGGCCGCAGAGATTGAGATACTTAGTATAACAATATCTGTGGAATGACATTACAGCCAGTAGGTGGCAGCATACCACACTTCTATCTACAGGGCTAACAAAAAGTGCTATAGTTAAAAAAGAAATTTAATACCGGATATTGGGGTATTGTTGTTTACATAATTGTGATGTGTTATTTGTTGACAGCTCAGAAAACTTGGAACAACATAAGGGTAAGTGGGATTATTAAAATATGTTTCATGTTGCATTACAAAATGAAAAGCGATATTACATGTATAATGCGTACACAGTGTTTTTGGAGAAAAGGTTAAATATTTAGCCAATTTATCTTCTATCTGACTGATTGTCAGCACTCTGAGAGGACCATCAGAACCTGAAATATTGGTTTGTCGCTGTCTGTCAGAATGATCAATGTAACGATTCATTTACAGTAATGGAATTTCTGGCATTTTTTAACTGAATGACAATGTTCAGGCATAGTATGTGAATTGGTCACTCCGCCAAGAAGGATTAGTGCTGTGTGTGTTTCTGTCATTCAGGAAGCATCCTTTGCTCAGCTGACTGTTTGTTGGTAGGTGGTTTTCAGACATTTGCAGTGTTAGGCACTGAATTTAAATTTAGGGCCCCTAACAGCCCCAATTTCGGAGTTCTTTCCCGACACGCAAGTTTAGTTCCCTGGAGGGAGCTGTCGTCGGGCATCATTGGACTCGTGCTAAATGGCGGACACTAGGACCATGCAGAGAGAATGGTCCAGCAAGCAAGGGGGCTGGCCAGGAGGATGTCTGCCATGCCAACTTCACATACAGGCCCACCCATCTTGATGGCTTCACTGCAAACGCTACCTAGACTGCCCCCCCTGACATCCCAAATACATACCTTACATACCAATTATATACCCTCCCATCTCGGGAGATACTCAGAGTGAATTCTAAGGAGGGGTCACTGTTTCTCAGAACGAGGGGCCACTGTTTCTCAGAATGAGGAGTCACTGTTTCTCCGAGTGAGAGCTCACTGTTTCTCCTAATGAGGGCTCACTGTTTCTCAGAATGAGGGGTCACCGTTTCTCAGAATGTGGGGCCAGTATTTCTTAGAAGGAGGGGTCACTGTTTCACAGAATGAGGGGTCACTGTTTCTCAGAACGAGGGGTCCACTGTTTATAATATGTGCTACCATTAACCCCCTTCCCCCGTAGCTTTATCTTGTTTTAGAACAGACTCAATGCCTTTTTACACCTGAATGGTTTGATTTTGTCCGCATTACACAGATGGCGTATTTAAATGGCTCAATGACAGATCGGTCACGTTATCTTTTGTGTAACTTCCTCTTTGAATAAGTGAATATAACCGTACAGTTAATTACCATTGCATTGCATCCCTGTAGCGCTGATAAGCGTTATCATGGCGGATTGGTGAACCTTTTCACAATAACTACAAGTCCACAACATTGAGAAGTATAAATAAATCTTCAAATCAGCATTTACACCATAAAGAATCACATTTAAACACAAACCTCTTTCACAACAATTTAATTTTACGATGTTCTATTCTCTTTAACATGATTTCATGGTAGGCAATAGCTTTAAACTGGCCATACCGGGTTCTACACTGACCATGTATCCAATTATTTGCCTCCCCTCTGTTATTGGACTATATTTCACATAATCCTATGTCCAACATCAGCTGGAGAACTGAGGTCTCAGCGAACCAACACCACTTGTGATCATTCTCAACTTGTTACAAGATACAGATCACTCCAGATGTCCCTGCCTTTGCTAAGCAGACAAAGGGACATTTTAATTTTCTAATATGTTATCCTCCTCCATAATTTGGAATTCCTTATATTTAAATGTCCTATTCACCCACACTTTGGTTTTCTACTCGTGGTAAACTCTGTCTCACAATTCGTGTTTATAGCACTGCACAAGGCCAGTTACAAAATGTTTCTGCTAAAGCCGTGTAGACATCATACCATTCTAGTTCTGTATCCTGGGAAAAGTAATCCATAGACACGGGTAAGATCAAGCTGTTCTCAGGTCAATGTGCCTGTGAATGGGATGCAGAAGATTCACCCGTCCTACTACCTCCTTGCATCCTGTCGTAGAGTACTTTGTACCATTTACAGTGTAATAATTTAGCTCCTCTGCCAAGTTCTTTATTTTCTCCTTGTCTGGGTAGAACCCTTCCTGGAGTAGTTCATCTAGAAAACAACTCATAACATGTTTTTGTTCCAAGAGCACAAAAGGCACAATTTCAGCAACTTTCCAAATGGAATGATGGCCCTTCAAGATAGACCATACAATCTGGCAAAGGTCATGCTCCACAGTATTGATGCTATTTGTAACATTTTTCAGGACATAGTTAGTGATTTCACTGCCTCCCAAGTTGCTGATTAGTACATACACAGCATTGAGGTACTCGTTCGTTTGGTTCAGTTGGAAAAAGCCCTGCAAGACATCGAGCAGAGGTGGAGACATGGCCTCCATTTCATCAAATATAAAAATTGGGATCTTCTCTTCAATTTCTGCTCGACTGATCATGTCGGAGATCAGATTAGACAATTCCGCTTGGCACAAAGCAACGTCTGAGCTTTTTGGGCAGTTGTGCAGAACGTAGTATTGTAAGATGAAATCATTGTCCATGACTGACCGGAAGTGCTTGGCCAGTAACCTACCCATAAGACTCTTGCCAACACCACTGGGTCCATTTAAAGATACCACCAGTGGCTTGTTGTGATAATGTGTGGCTAGGTAGTCCTTCAAGTGATCCATTATTTTTGCAACTGCAGTTTGTTGGCCAAACACGTCCCTCTTCAATGTCTTTTCCAATCCCTCCAAGTCATACTTTAAAACATTGTCATCTAAATTCTCAATGGCATTTAAAATCTGGAATCCAACAATTAATATAAACAGTATGAGGCAGCGTTTGGCTTTGCTCTTTTGTTCCACAGGCAGGTATTTTCTGGCATTACCTGGATATAACACGGGCCTGGATTTCTTGCGTTTTGACTTGCGTGGCTGGTGATTTAAAGAAACCTCTGCTAACGTGGGTGAGTCAAATTTAAAAATGGTAGGCTTTTCAAAGTTTGAAGACTTACATTTATCGGCAGAAGTTTGTCGAAAAGCTGACTTTGGGCTGTCGGTGGACCTTTTCCCAGAAATATCCAGCTGCAAGCATCCATTCTTTAACGTCCTGATCTTTTTGCGCATGCGTATGACGGCACGCACTGGTGAGGACACCAGAGTAATCTTTCTTTGTGGGATGCCAGCTCCATCGCTAATTTCCTGCTTTTCCATGATTACAGCTAGAACACACCATTCGCTTTTCAAATGGGGACAAAGATCACCCTAAAAAAAGAAACAAAAATTACCAGTGACTGAATTCCACAGTTAGCAGATTGCTTGTTATAATATGCTTAATAGAAATGGATGTAATAGATTATAATAAGTTATTTAGAATCATACCTTGCCCCTTTTTAACCCTTAAACATTGCATTACAATATTCCTGCATTCAGGAAATGGCTCAACACTGGGGCAAGGATTATATAGGTTTTAACAGAGCAAAATGTGGTTACTTCAGAACCATAGGCAGCTGTCAAACAGAACTGTCCCGTCAAACAGTGTTGTTGTTTTTTATACTGTGGAGCTCTTTGATACCCTTGTACACACTGCATATTACTGTGAGTTTTATTGCTGTGGAGCTCTGTGATACACTCACACACACTGCTCATTACTGTGAGTCTTATTACTGTGGAGCACTGTGATACCCCTGTACACACTGCACATTACTGTGAGTTGTATTGCTGTGGATGGAACTCTGTGATACCCCTGTACACACTGCACATTACTGTGAGTTGTATTGCTGTGGATGGAACTCTGTGATACCCCTGTACACACTGCACATTACTGTGAGTTGTATTGCTGTGGATGGAACTCTGTGATACACTCATATTGTGCACATTACTGTGAGTTTTATTGCTGTGGAGCTCTGTGATACACTCATACTGTGCACATTACTGTGAGTTTTATTGCTGTGGAGCTCTGTGATACACTCATACTGTGCACATTACTGTGAGTTTTATTGCTGTGGAGCTCTGTGATACCCTCATACACACTGCACATTACTGTGAGTTTTATTGCTGTGGAGCTCTGTGATACCCACTGCACATTACTGTGAGTTTTATTGCTGTAGAGCTTTGTGATACACTCATACCGTGCACATTATAGTGAGTTTTATTGCTGTGGAGCTCTGTGATACGTGGAACTCTGTGATACCCTTGTACACACTGCATGTTACTGTTAGGTTTTTTTTTGTGTTTATTTTTAAATTCTTTATTTTGAAAGATTTTAGGTTTTTTTGGGGGGGGGGGAGGGGTACAGAAAGAAAGGCCGGGGGGTAAACATTTGTAGTCCAGTTTTCACAACATGTACATATACCTGTTATAACATACTTTTCATGAAAAAACAATAGTGTGTAGGCGTTTCGCTGGATTTTATGATAATTTCACATATTAAGTAACATGCCTTTCATCAATGCTAGTGTTTACATCTTTTGTTCTTGGTTTCTGTGATTGTCGTTTGTGCCACAGTTGTATCTATTTTTATTCAGCAATTTTGTTCTATGGACTCCGGGGGGGGGAGAAAAGAAATGGGGGGTCAACATTTTTCATTCAATTTTCACAACGTACACTTATGGTAGTTATCGCATTTTGTCGTTTTTGTAAATTTAATAGTCTTTTAATCTTAGTTTCTTTGTTTGACTTTTGCGTTTTAATAAATTCCGATATTCTGTTCGGAGTCATTGTTCTTTGGTCTGCGGGTTTGGGTATGGTACAGAAAAGGGGGGGGGTCGTCCTATCATAGCCCACTTTTGTGGTTGTACCTTCCAGTTGTTCTTCTCATTCCTTTCTTATAGTATTTTTATTGTGCACCTTTTGGATGTGGTCTAGGGTAGTCGGGTTGTTTCATTTTGGGTTGTACCTCTTCTGGTCCGGGTAGTCGGGTTGGGTGGGTAGTTGTGTGTGTTGCCTGGGTTTTCGTCTTTTGGTGTATATTTCTATGTTGTGTGTTTTCCTGCTATATGTGTGTTATGGTCTGTGTTATGGTCTTTGTGTGGGTGTAGTTATTGTTCTGAGGTTGTTTTGTCGTGACTTGTGTTGTGGGGTAGTATTCATGTTTTGAGTGTCTTTGTTCTTATAGTTGGGATTTTGCACGCGAGGCGGGCTGTGGGCATTGTCGCCCTGTTTAGCGTTGATAAGTGTTAGTGTGTTCTCTGAGTGCCCCGTGTGTTTCATTCCACTTGTTTTGTTTTTCCCCCTGGGCTTGTTGTATTATTGTGGTGCGATGTGGGGTAGTTAGTTTTGGCCATTCTTGGGGTGTGTAGATGTCACCTGTTCTCGTCTGTTGGTGGTGCGTTTCCTATCTGGTTGGTGGTTCCGGTTGTATTTCGGTGGGTGTATCGTGGGGAGGTATTACTGTTAGTTTTATTGCTGTGAAGCTCTGTGATAATCATACACTGCACATTACTGTGAGTTTTATTGCTGTGGAGCTCTGTGATAAACTTATATTGTGCACATTACTTTGAGTTTTATTGCTGTGAAACTCTGTGATACATTCACACCGTGCAAATTACTGTGAGTTTTATTGCTGTGGATGGAACTCTGTGTTACACTCATACCGTGTACATTACTGTGAGTTTTATTGCTGTGGAGCTCTGTGATACGCTCATACTGTGCACATTACTGTGAGTTTTATTGCTGTGGAGCTCTGTGTCCGATTGAAAACCAAATCTATTGCAGAACATCTTGGATAAGCCGTCTGATGATCAATGCTCATTTTAAACTTGCAGAACCTATTTATAAAATGTTGAAATTGTAGGGGCTAGGATGGTGGCGCCGGCTTTACTTCCTGTATTTTGCTCTCGGACTGGCGCTGACCCTAATATAGGAACTTTTTACACCGATTCTCACGCTGGTTGAAATACAGGATCACATGACACACCAAACAAGTGAAGATTACACAACTCTGAATAAAGCTGCAAAACAGCGATTAGAGTAATCAGCAAACGGCACATTTCATAGGAAGTGATACCACAATTTCCCATTATTTGTCTCTGTTGAGCTTGTACAAACCAAAAGAGTGGATCTCTCCGGCCATTATGGCTTCAGCTGCGTCCACTATCAGTAATAGCTCACCACCCTAACCTCTGGTGTATCTAACAGAAATTGGTTTAATGCAAGTTCATCTGGCCACGTTCAACATGGGCCACGTTCAACATGGGTAATCTATCAATTGGAGCCAGCACTGCCAGACCCACCGTATTAGCGTAGGATTCTTGCCTTGAACACCAACATTAAAGGGACACTATAGTCACCAGAACAACTACAGCTTATTGAATAGTATACAGCTTATTGAATAGTATACAGCTTAGTGTATTTGTTCTGGTGAGTATAACCATTACCTATAGGCTTTTTGCTGTAAACACGGTCTTTTCAGAGAAAATGCAGTGTTTACATTACAGCCTAGTGATAACTTTACTGGCCACTCCTCAGATGGCTGGTAGAGATCCTTCCTGGGTCATGGCTGCCTAAAATGCATCCAAACATTCGGTATCTCCTCCCACTGCATGCAGACACTGAACTTTCCTCATAGAGATCCATAGAGATGCTGATTGGCCAGGGCTGTGTTTAAATCATGCTGGCTCTGCCCCTGATCTGCCTCCTTGAGGGAAGCATTGTGATTGGCTCAGAGAATCACTTCTGATGATGTCAGCAAAATATGCTAGTCCCAAAATCCTGGTCATGCGTGATTCCAGATAGAAAGTAACGTGGTCATACGTTGTTCCAGACAGATAGTAACATAGTAATACGTGGTTCCAGATAGATAGTAACGTGGTCATACGTGTCTCCAGATAGATAGTAACGTTGTCATACGTGTCTCCAGATCTATTTAATGTACTTAAAGAATTACTACAAGCACCATGACCACTTTAGTGATGGTTCTGGAGGCTGTGCAACGTTTCTGTTTTTCCAGCTTTGAGTTCCAGGGGTTTAATGTCAGTTCTGTGCATATGCCGATGCACAGAAACTCAGTGATTGGCTGAGAGAGGTCAGCTGACACTCTCAGCCAGTCAATGAGCAGAAGGATCGACATTCGCCTTATGCAGAGAACGGATGTTGTAGATCTGCGTACAAAGAGGATCAGGAGCATTGTGCGAACCAGGAGAGAGGGTAAACCATCACACTGGGAAGGAGGCCAGGGAATTGCTAGCGGGCTGTAACCCCATTATTTCATCGAGCAGTCAGAACGTTACCTAATGATGTGCATTATCAGTGTTTCTCCACATCCCATGCCATCTTTACATTCCACAATCGCTAGATTGTCCTCTCAGCAATCTCTTTACTGGAATGTTTCACTGGATTCCGAGCACCATGTAAAATTGTGCAAAAGTGAACATCGCAAAACATTTTTAACCTGATTTAGCATATGAAAAATAACACACCCCATTATGCAATAAACAAATTTGGCCCATATTCTGCACCAGGTGAGAAAATTGCATCAAACGGCATACAGCGGGGGAGGGGAACTAAAGCCTTGTTTCGTATTGCACTTAGGTTTCATTTGTGTCCAGGGCTCAGGAATCCGATTACAGAGCAAAGTGTTGCAACAAAACTGTCTTTCTAATGCACATACCTGAGACACTGCAAAATATGAATTAGCTACGCATACTCTGTAACTAAATTCTTCTAATTAGGAAGATGTTAAGAATGAAATACCGTCAGTGGAGTCACCAGTATCAAAGGAAGGATTCATACAATAATTCACACACATAGAGTCTCATAATAAAAGGAGTACGTTCCAGGCTGCAAGTCCCCTATTACCCTAAAATCTGCCCATTCACCCCAAGACCTAAGAATCTGTACATTTATACTGTGAATCTGCTCGTTCATTGTAAACCATGAGAATCTGTCATTCATACTGTGAATCTGCCCTTTCATGGTAAAACATGAGAATCTGTCATTCATACTGTGAATCTGCCCATCCATGGTAAAACATAAGAATCTGTCATTCATACCGTGAATCTGCCCGTTCAAGGTAAAACATGAGAATCTGTCATTCATAATGTGAATCTGCCTGTTCATGGTAAAACATGAGAATCTGCCCCTTAACCCTGAGACCCGAAGAATCTGCCCATTCACCCTGAGACCATTCATTGTAAGAATTCGCCAGGTTACTCCATGGCATGTGCCACATACCTAAGCTAGTTACTGATCCGATCCACAGGATGTGCCACATGTCACCCAACCAAAGGGCAGCGAACAGGTTTCAATGAGAGCACACGACTTATGGCTTCCTCTCCTGAGCCTGTCATTGAAATACTGCTATCTGCAACCCGAGGGGAAACAGGCTGTGGGAGGAGAGCTAAGTTAGGGCTTCCTTTATTTACTATTACAGAATTAGAGTACAGCCGGATTGTGAAATATGTCATATAATCAAAGAACTCTATCATATATCTATTGTATATCTATAGCGTATATCTCTCGATCGTATATTTATTGTATATGTATCTATCAATCGTATATATTCATTGTCTATTATATATCTATCGATCTATCATATACCTATCTATCAATCTGTCGTATATCTATCTATTGATTGTATACCTATCGATCGTATATCTATCAATTGTATACATATCTATGGTATATCTATCTATTGTCTACCTATCGTATATCTACTGTCTTTCTGTCTATCTACATATCTATCTTGTGTCTGACTACCTAACTATGTACATATTCATCCATCCAGTTGATGATTTATAATTATGACTTCAGATTTATGTTGTACTTCATTTGATATTTTGTTGCATTATATATTATTTTGTTTGTACAGCACTGCTACACGTGTTGGCAACATTACCAAAACATTTTCAAATTGGAGCTGCAATATGTGGCTGATAGGAACTAATCAGTCTTGGTAATATTAGGTGATGGTTATTTGCCCTAAAACCCCAGGATTGGTGGGGGCCCAGGCAATATCTCCATTGCACTGCTGAGGCGCCCCAGAACTGACCCACTTATTTAGATAGTGCACTAAAAATATGCAAGACAATCTGTCCAAAGTAACTAAAGGTAAAAAGCTACTCACATCTGAAGTTGTGTCTCTTCAATGAGTTCCCAGGCTTAGCACATGCAGCAGCTTAGCGCAGCCCAGACCGCGGAGTGATCAACCAATCAGGCATGGAACGTTCCAATGTGCTGATGTTATCCCCTGCATTTCTGCACATCTATGTGTGAAAGGCGACCTAGCTTTCATAGAAACCTTCCCAGTGCTTCCTGATTACTCCTCTGTGCTATGTGACCCTGTGGGCTAGGAGGGAGTGAGCTATGAAAACACTTATCAGCTACATTAACCAGCAAGAAGGAAGGATTTCAGAATGGAGGAAGGGCCAGAGGGGGCCGGGTTAAGAAATAGGATGCAACAAATGTATTTATTAATCACAATAACTATATAAAATGCAAAAATACAGCTAATGAGTTCTGAAAAAACTCCAGAAAAGCAGATTGCTCCAGTGGTTATGGTGCCAGGAGTTCCCTGGTGCTGACCAATGTAAACACCAAACCATTTGACAACTTATCTGGTGTCCCCTGCGCCATTGTAACCCTGAATCTCTCTGCTCTGAGCTTTCATGGCTGTGAGGGGCTTTGCTCATTGGCTGATAGTGATCAGCTGACGCTCTCAACCAGTGAGCTAGCGCTGCATGGCAAGACTTACCTCTGGCGAACCACAAGCTCTGTGCTTTCAGCTAGCCTGAAGGTGCAGGGTTTAGCTCACTGGCTGACGGCACTCTGTGCCCGACAGACATTAGGTAAGTAGTTTGACTACAGACTCTGGTAGGCAGCCAGGCTCTCCTCCTCCTGGCACTAAAAACTACAGCATGATGTAGTGGCTATGGTGCTTACAGTGTTTCTTTAACAAATATATGTTTGTGATGAAAAATTAAAGACAATTAAATGTAGAAATGCACACCTCTGTGTTTACTAAAATAGAGAACCTCTGTCTTGGGTTCTTGTCAATCATTGTGATAAACTCCGCCCTTTGCACCTGGCAGACAGCATAGACAGTGTTTCTATGTCTCCTTCTGCGATGCAGCGTGTGCCTTGGATGTGCCAGGACTGAGCTGGATTGGGAAGATCAGTTACTAAATCTTTCCTATAACTTTAAAACAAAAAAGAGCATCACAAAAAATGTTAATACAAGTTTTATTCACTGGTGTAACTTCCAGAGCAGTGCAGCATCACTTTTAACCTCTATAGCGAATACGTAGAGTAAAAAAAAACCCTCACACTATACGTGGAGTATTGTGGGAGCGAACGACGAGCAAACAACAAGCATTGTGGGAGTAAACAGCGAACAAGTGAACGACAAGTATCGTGGGAGTAAACAACGAGCCTTGTGGGAGTGAACGACGAGCCTTGTGGGAGTAAACAACGAGCATGTAAACGACGTGGAGAATGATAGCGGGGGCCATGGTGGGGGATAATCGTGGGTCTGAGTTGGGGGTGATAATGTACAAGGTAGGAAAATGATAGTGGGTCCATGGTGGGGGCTGATAATGTACAAGGTAGGAGAATGATAGCGGGGCCATGGTGGGGGATAATCGTGGGTCTGAGTTGGGGGTGATAATGTACAAGGTAGGAGAATGATAGCAGGGATCATGGTGGGGGATAATAGTGGGTCTGTGGTGGGGGTGATAATGTACAAGTGTAAATCATGTCTTTAAAGGGCAATACATCCCAGGGGCCATAGTCACATGGCAGGAGGCTGGCAATCAGTCTTCTCCAATGCCAAGTGTCCACGAACCCCATTTTCCCAAATCTTTCTGTAGACAGGGACGCTGTATGAACACTTGCATCGCCCTCAATTTGTAAATCCATGAACGGTGTCTCTGAGCTGCTTTACCTCGCACTAGGACGCCATCCCACCTCTGCCACCAATGTAACGGATCACCTGGCACCCCGACTGGGTACCTCCGTTGAAGGATGCTCCTAGCGCTTCCATAGGACTCCAAGCACTCCAGCCAACACCATAACCACCGTAGACTCCTTCAGAGAGCAAGACAGGAACAAGCTCTTACAAGAGCTCAGAGAGCATAGCAATCCCTTGTAGCAGATTCCCCCAATAAGAGACAGGACTCAGATTGAGGGTGTGAATACAGCCTCTTTTATTCACATTCTACAAACATAGTACTGCCCACAGGGTTTTGAAATACAACCAATCAATCCGTACAATACACACAGACACTCCCACACAAAATCCTCCCCTCTGCCTGTGACATGATTACTGAACACAATGGTTAATATAATTATCACAGGCAGAGAAATACAGTATTATAAAATATATCACAGGGACCCCAAAACATGCAATAACCCCATATATATCCTCGGAACCGGGGTATCTGGGTGAACCACATATCCAAAATTCACCCAGATCTGTTCAGAAGTTTGGAAGATACGGTTTAATGCAGATTCTGCAGAACATATACAGGCTATATGAAAAATAATTACTGTTAAATGTGTCCCCTGTTCTGTAGTTTAAAACTACTGAACGATGTCTGTGTGCAGCAAATACCAGCGAGATGGCACCGTGTAGAAAAGTCAAAACAGTGTCTGTGAGTTAAAATGGCCGCCATCCTTTGTTCTCACCATGTGCTTCATCCATTGTTCTCACCATGTGCCTCTGATACATGAAATGGTGGTCACCCAGTAACTCCACAGTATGTCCCCAGATGGTTTTTAAAGGGCCAGCAGCAGCACAACACAAATCCATTATGCCCAAATCATGTCTTTAAAGGGCAATACATCCCAGGGGCCATAGTCACATGGCAGGAGGATGGCAATCAGTCTTCTCCAATGCCCAGTGGCGAGGTCGGTTTCGCCACAACAAGGTAGTAGAATGATAGCGGACCATGGTGGGGGATGATAATGTACAAGTTATGAGAATGATAGTGGGTCCATGACAGTGGATGATAATATACAAGGTAGAAGAATGGTAGTGGGTCCATGGTGGGGGATGATCATGTACAAAGTAGGAGAATCATAGCGGGTCCATGGTGGTGGATGAATTTGTACAAGTTAGAAGAAGGATAGTGGGTCCATGGTGGGGGATGATAATGTACAGGGTAGGTGAATGATATTGAGACCATGCTGGGGGGTGATAGTGGGTCCGTGGTGGAAGATGATAATGTACAAGTTAGGAGAATGATAACTGGTCATGGTGGGGGGTGAGTTTCAAGAGGCATGAAAATGCGCCCCAGGCACCCCCCTAGTGAGTGGCACCCGATACGGATTGCTCCCTCCGTCCCCCCCCCGCCCCTCCCTTAGTACGTGTAGCATATTCTTCGTCACCTTGCAGTCACTGCACCCAGCGGCCGTGCGTCTGCATGACTGACACTTGCGGCATGTTAATGGAGACCGGCCACTGCGGATCCACGGCAAAATATACCCCCACATCCGCTCACGTGATTGACGACGTCAGCGTGCAAGTGAAGTCACGCACGCACCGCGCACGTTTTGGGGTCAAAGAGCGATTTCAGCTAATCAGAATAGCCCTAATTGCCCTATCGTGGTTTCCCTAGTGGTTATCAGAGAGCGCATTCCTTATTCTGGTTATTTGACTTTGGCATTGATTTTGACTTCCCTGTTTTCTGGTATCCCTAACCTCTGGCTTTCCTTTATTATTGTGTCCCTTTCTGTGTCCCCTGACCTCGGCTATTCCTGACTATTCTTTGGTATGTGAGTCCGGCCATTCTAAGGCCCGGTATACGTTACCTGTTAGTCTCCTGTGTTACACAGTTCTACGTGCTGAATCATACTGTAATCCTGACATTACGACATGGTAGAATTGTGTAAGCACATAGCTGCTTGCGAAAGGAAACTAGAGGAGAATGATCACCGCATGGATCAATTTGCCCAGGCCTTCAGTACGCTTCTTACTCGTACAGCGCATCTGCAACCTGCGGCTGCTCCTACTGTCTCACCATATGTACCTCCACCCATAGTACACAAGGCACCCACTATCTCTCTATCTCCTCCTCTGCATTTTGATGGTAATATTCAAGAATGCCGAGGATTCCTTAACCAAATAGAGTATCATTTTGAGGCCTCACTGGGATCTTTTCCCACAGACAGAGCTAAAATTGGTTACCTGATGAATCAATTAAAAGGTAAAGCTTTAGCTTGGGCCAGTCCGTTATGGGAGAGTAATAGGAATGTGGCACACAATTACCAGGAGTTTATTACGGAATTTAAACTTACGTTTTAACCATTAGGCAGAGAGGAAGACGCCTCCTCTGCCCTGATGCATATCATACAAGGGAACCGGTTTATCTCAGAGTATGCCATAGAATTTCGTACCCTAGCTTCCGAGGTAGACTGGAGTAACAGTGGGCTAATCTCTGCAGTTAAAAAGGGACTATCTGAAAATATGCTAGATGAGATTGCCGCCAAAGACTTACCCAAGGAACTTAATGAGTTTATTACATTTGTTATCCAAATTGACAATAGACTAAGAACTATAGAAGCTACTAGAAATAAGACCAGACGTATGACTATGCCTTTAGCACCCCGTTTCTTCAAACCTGTTGTTCCTGACCTTCCTATACAGTCCGATCCTGAACCCATGCAGTTGGGGGTCACTAGACTGTCGAAGGCCGAGAGACAATATAGGAGAAAAGAAGGCCTATGTCTTTACTGCGGTAGGAAGGGACATATGAGAAACAATTGTCCCATTCGTCCGGAAAACTACCGCACCTTAAGGGGACAGGTCTTAGGTGTAATGGAAACGTCCTCTGAAAAGAATAAATATAGATTTCTCCTTGATATTACGATTATCCTTGACAAAAATTACTTTTAATGCAAAGCACTGATGGACTCAGGGGCTGCTGGAAATTTCATTGATGTCCAATTTGTTAAGGGTAATGTTATACCTGTCAAGGAGAGACTATCACCTCTAGCTGTAGAGGCTATTGATGGGAGACCACTCTCACAACCATAAATTGTTACAAAACCTTACCCATTAGTATGTCCATTGGAGCCTTGCATAAGGTAGATATAACGTTTCAGGTTATTGCATCCCCTTCCTGTCCTATCATATTAGGCTTTCCTTGGCTTAGTAAGCATAACCCTTATATTGATTGGGCTAACGGGGAAATATTGGAATGGGGTAAGGATTGTGAGGGAAGGTGTATAGTACATATCACCAAGAGAGTGGCTACTATTGAATTACCCACTATTACTCCTCAAACTCCCGAAGTTCCCATACAATACCAGGATATTAAGGAAGTATTTAGCAAGACTCAGTCTAATGCAGTGGTTCCCAACCCAGTCCTTGTGGAACCCCTACCGGGGCCATGGTGGGGGATGATGATGTACAAGGTAGGAGAATGATAGCGGGGCCATGGTGGTGGGTGATAAAGACAGGGGTGATGACAAACAAACACCAAGGATGAAAACTTTGCAACTGTTTATTATCTCAATGTACATGCCTCCAGCTGAAGCCACTTCCACTGTGCCTGAAAAGTGATACCATTTCCTATCTGGCTACATGCAAAGTAAATAGAGGGAGGATAAGCGCTCAGCTACCCTTTAGACAACACAAGACACAAATAAAAATATCAGGATGTGCCTAATGTCAGTGGGAAAAAAAAGTCCAGAATTTTCTCCTTTGGCCACGTGGTTTGTTTCTTACGGTACTTGGATGTTTCAGAGGTACACGTGAAAAGACTCCACCAATCTACAGTCTTCTCTCTATGTCTTTTAAAATGTTATTGTGTTTATGTGCTACTATAAATACAAAAATCAGACCACCCAACAATCCTGGATTCAGCAGGACTATTCCAAATTTTAGACACTCAACAACATTTCCTGATAGACACAGAGCGGTTATACAAATAATGTTTACAGGTTTCCCCCATCAGGAGCTGAAGTGTGCGTCTAGCAGGTTTATATGGTTTTACCAGTAAACTAATGACTAGATCTGAATCTGCCAAGGGCATCGGCTGTATCTTGTACATCCTGTATAAAATTATACATAAAGTAACAAAAAACTCATTCATGTAGAAAAAAACCCAGGTGTTTCCATCACATTCCCTTTAAACAACCCCTACAATCTACAGATCTCACACAGGTCTCTTTTTTTAAACAAGATAGAAATCTGTTCAAAAGTCACGCAAATGTTAGTTCCTTGTAGCAAGGAAGGGATTGTGCTGATTCTGTCAGTTTCTAAATGGGGAAGAAAGATGGCAGAATAGGCACTTGGAATTCTCGGGAAATGTGTATTGGGGCGATTCTGCTTTTCCCCCCAACTCTCTGGGATTGAAAGGGTTAACGATGAAAGTGACGGCTTTATGATATAAACATGAGTAGGGTAAGCCCTGCTGTCTGAGTGTCATTCATTTCAACACTTCTTATTTATCTTAATGTGATACACAGTGACTGGAACAAATACAGATATTTCTTTAGTGAAGATCATTTGTTGTTTTGTAAGACAAATACCACTATTGTTGTGTGCAAAAGTCCCCCTTGTGCATGGATCTGGATGTTTGTACATAATGGGCAGTGGGCAAGCTAGCCAAAATAGCCACGAGTCTCAGGAGAATTTTAAACAGTAGATAGACCCCATAGAAAACATGCATCTTTAATTAAAGGTATTCTATAGTGCGAGGAAAATAAACCGTTTTCCTGGCGCTATAGAATCCTACAGTGCCCCCCTCCCTCGTGCCCCCCCTATCGCACAGCTGAAGGGGTAAACCCCTTCAGTCACTTACCTGAATCCAGCGCTGATGACCCTCGGCGCTGTCAGGATCCACCCGCACTCCTCCCCTGCCGACTTTAGCCAGCGGGGGAGACCTAATGCGTATTCGCTGCAATGGCTGCGTTCACATTAGTATTCACCCAAAGTAAAGCATTATTCAATGCATAGCGTGAGGACGTCCAACATCAGATAACGGACCGGACCAAAGATCCATTTGGATTCCGGAAGTCCCTCTAGTGGCTGCTAGACAGCCACTACAGGAGGAGTTAACCATCAGAGGTAATTATTGCAATTCTCAGAAACTGCAATTATTACCACTGTATGGTTAAGGGACATGGGACATTGCACCCAGACCATCTCAATGAGCTGAAATGCTCTGGGAGCCTACAGTGTCCCTTTAAACACAGTAAAAGAGTATATTTAAAAGATTTTTTTTTTAAACTACCACAAGAGGACATAGTCACAGGCTTGATAAGGATCCTGAGGCTGGGGTACAACGTTGCCGGTTCAACACAGATGGAATTAATCTCTTTGCCATTTACATTGCTTATTGCTTTTTATACCGTTAGTGCCTGAGTGACTGTTAGTGTCGGTCTGATTGTTAGTGTCTGAGTCACTGTTAGTGTTTGAGTGACTGTTAGTGTCAGTCTGACTTTTAGTGCCTGAGTGACTGTTAGTGTTTGAGTGACTGTTAGTGTCAGTCTGACTTTTAGTGCCTGAGTGACTGTTAGTGTTTTAGTGACTGTTAGTGTCGGTCTGATTGTTAGTGTCTGAGTCACTGTTAGTGTCTGAGTCACTGTTAGTGTTTGAGTGACTGTTAGTGTCAGTCTGACTGTTAGTGCTTGAGTGACTGTCAGTGTTTGAGTGACTGTTAGTGCTTGAATGACTGTTCGTGTCAGTCTGATTGTTAGTGTCTGAGTGACTGTCAGTGTTTCACTGACTGTTCATGTCTGAATGACAGCGAGGGAGGTGTTTCTGTCCCCAGTTATAAAAGGTACTGATTGCTATTAAACAATTATGACTCCAAACACAGAAAGTTGCAGTGCGCGATGTGTGGGTGTTCCCTTAAATTGAGTGTTTTACATATCGGGTTTTTAAAATTACATTACGGCTTTTTTAGTTAATCCCGGAAACGCAGACTATTAAATAAATGCTTGGAGGTGTTAATGTGTTCATAGGAAAATAATGGCAGTTAAAAATAGACCTCAATGTAGAATGGCTGATGTATAAATGAAAACACAAAAAAAACCTACAAAACACATGTACGTCATCTACTGCCCTGAGCCCTCGAGAACTTGCCCTACACCCTCTCATCGAGCTCACTCATTAAACGGGGACGTAGGGACCAATGACAAAGGAATGGCAAGTTTTAGGCCAAGATTTTAACCAAATTAGCTGAGTTAGAAAACAGCGCTGTGCTCGGCAATGATTCCAGTTTGTCTTCCTGACCTAAAATGATCAATTCTGTCACCAGCTCCCCTCGATTTATATTTATTGAATAACCTTTTCAGGGCTGCAGAAAGAGATAACAGCCCAGTGTAGTGATATGTTAATACTTTATCTCACTATCTTTGTTCTTTATTGCTGCAACTGGACTCCAAGTGGAAGTCTACTTACAGCAACGAGAAAGGAAAAGGAGCTGAGATTTTAAACTCATACATTATGGAGCAAGAAGCGTATCTGTCTCCTCTATGCTGCTGTCTGCCTCTAATACCTTGTGCTAGAGTTTCATTGATATATTTTCATGAATGAAACTACTGCTGAGGGCTTAGCTATATATCCCATTAACCCGGCTGGGGGAAGGCTTTATTGCCACGTGTATATAATAAAGATGTGATATTAGTTATTACTTCAGAGCGTTAGGCCTTGAGACCTGTTTTCTTTCAAAAAAACAATACATTTGGACTTTGGTGAATCGGCTCAGTTGAGACATAGAATATCCCACCATGCATCATCTTCCTGATTCCTGATTGGCTGCTCATTTTGTATTTTTTGTTGAAAATGACGAGGAGAGGACTCAGATGGCTGGTTTCAAGGGCTCTGCTTCCTTAAGCTGTGGGATTGGTATGGGCTAGGGTTTGTGTTGGTTGTGGCATTCTTTATTCATTTTACATTCTACACTGATGGAAGGAGATCGATGTAAAATATGAGCAATAAGGACAGGTTGGCCCATCACTTTATTTTACCCTTTAATGAGCCAAATAAACATCCTATTTAGTAAAGACAGACCCTGTATTGGGCCCAAATCCCTCTGTCCCACTTTTCTAGGAGATCCATATTGTTGGTGTGTTTGAGTGTATAACAGAGCTCCACAGCAATAATACTCCCAGTAATGTGTCTGAGTGTATAACAGAGCTCCACAGCAATAATACTCCCAGTAATGTGTCTGAGTGTATAACAGAGCTCCACAGCAATAATACTCCCAGTAATGTGTCTGAGTGTATAACAGAGCTCCACAGCAATAATACTCCCAGTAATGTGTCTGACTGTGTAACAGAGCTCCACAGCAATAATACTCCCAGTAATGTGTCTGTGTATAACTGAGCTCCACAGCAATAATACTCCCAGTAATGTGTCTGAGTGTATAACAGAGCTCCACAGCAATAATACTCCCAGTAATGTGTCTGAGTGTATAACAGAGCTCCACAGCAATAATACTCCCAGTAATGTGTCTGAGTGTATCACAGAGCTCCACAGCAATAATACTCCCAATAATGTGTCTGAGTGTATAACAGAGCTCCACAGCAATAACACTCCCAGTAATGTGTCTGAGTGTATAACAGAGCTCCACAGCAATAACACTCCCAGTAATGTGTCTGAGTTTATAAGAACTCCACAGCAATAACACTCCCAGAAACGTTTTGAAACAGAGCTCCACAGCAATAGTACTCCCTGTAATGTGTTAAAACAGAGCTCCACAGCAATTATTATTATTGCCATTTATATAGCGCCAACAGATTCTGTAGCGCTTTACCATATTATTAGAGGGGGGATTTAACTATAAATAGGACAATTACAAGAAAACTTACAGGAACGATAGGTTGCAGAGGGCCCTGCTCAAACGAGCTTACAGTCTATAGGAGGTGGGTTATAAAACACATTATGACAGGAAATAGCAATCAAATAAGGTTGGAGTGAAGCAGAGCTGGAGGAGAGAGTGGAGTGCTGCCCTTTAGGAGAGAGCAAAAGACAGGTATGTAAGGTAGAGGTTACTCTGGGAGGCCATAAGCTTTCCTAAAGAGATGAGTTTTAAGGCCCTTCTTAAACAATTGAAGACTAGGGGAGAGTCTGATGGCGGTAGGCAGGCTATTCCATAGGAAGGGAGCCGCCCACGAGAGGTCCTGCAAGCGCGAGTTGGCGGTACGGGTGCGAGTAGCAGACAGGAGAAGGTCACGGGCAGAGCGGAGAGACCGAGAAGAGGCATACCTATGGATCTGTGAAGAGATATAAGAGGGGCTAGACTTAGTCAGTGCTTTATAGGTATGGGTTAGCACTTTGAATTGACTCCTGTAGGATACAGGAAGCCAATGTGAGGAGTGACAGAGGGGTGAGGTGTGAAAGGACCGACTAGAGAGGAAAATCAGTCTGGCGGCAGCATTCATTACAGACTGCAGAGGGGCAATACGGCTTTTGGGAAGACCAATCAGGAGAGGGTTACAATAATCCATGCGGGAAATTACTAGAGCATGGTCAAGCTCCTTGCTAGCATCTTATGTAAGAAAGGGGCGGATGCAGGTAATGTTTTTAAGGTGGAATCTACAGGATTTGGCAACAGACTGGATGTGAGGCTAAAAAGTGAGGCCAGAGTCAAGTATGACGCCAAGACAGCTGAGAGAAACTGCTGTGTTTACATTTAGGGTTAATCCAACCTCTAGTGGCTGTCTTCCTGACAGCCGCTAGAGGCGCTTCTGCGACGCTGGATGGGAAAATCGCATTCAGCATGCAGAACGTCCATAGGAAAGCATTGAGAAATGCTTTCCTATGGACTGTTTAAATGCGCGTGCGGCTCTTGCCGTGCATGCGCATTCCGCTCCACTCGGGAGCTGACTTCCACGGGGGAGGAGAGGTCACCAGCGCTGAGGGAGCCCGGCACTGGATAAAGCCAAGTGGCTGAAGGGGTTTTAACCCCTTCAGCCCAGCGGGAGGGGGACAACGGGGGTGGGGGGGACCTAAGGGTTATATAGTGTCAGGAAAACGAGTTTGTTTTCCTGACAATATAGTGATCCGTTAAGGGGTTAAACACAAAACCGGGACAAAGGTCTATAGGTGGAGCAGTAACCATGGGAACCAGTAGTTTCTGTTAACTGCTCCTCTATTGGCACTTTACCCAGGATCATTTAGCCTATTCACTAACTGTAACGGATCGCCTGGCACCCCGACTGGGTACCTCCGTTAAAGGATGCTCCTAGCGCTTCCTGAGGACTCCAAGCACTGCAGCAGACACCACAACCACCGAACCGGAGAAGCATATGAATCCTCTCAAGCATATGAATGCTGTAGACAGTTGAATAGGAACCATACAAATAGGTTTACTCTCCTAGCAGTCAAACTGGAACAGCATACAATAAATCCTTCCCCCAATAATGAGACGACACTTCACTTTGAGGGTTAAAACAGGAACTTCCTGTACTGTCACATACAGTCTCTTTTATTCCCAATCCACAAACATAGTACAGCCCACAGGGCGTTACAAAACAACCAATCACATCACAGTTACATCCCACATATTCCCTCCCCTTATCCTGAGAGGAAACTCAATTATACATACAGTTAAAACATACTTTCTACCCAACTTTCATAACTCCAAAACCATACATCACATTCACATAAAATTACATATTCACAATCAATCCATTCAGGGGAACAACATATTCAAAAATGGCACAAATCAGACAAGGGGTTCAAAAGTTAGTAAAAAGTCCTTTGTGACTAAATGAAGCATGGCTTTCTGGCCCAAACCAGTTTCAGAGTCTTCTATCCTGGAGATAAGTAATTCAATTATCTCCCAGGACAGACACAAGACTCCATTAAGCACATGGTTGCAAAAGACACAAAACACTTTAAAATACATAAAGTCACATTTTACACATAACACACAGACATTTCACATATCCCCAGATAGCTCAGGTCTGAGCGCACATTATTAAGTGAATGGCGCTCGGACCACACAAATACAGTTTAATCGCCATGGAGCCAAAGTCTTTACAGTCAGTTTCATACGAATGGGCTCCATGGGATTCCTATCTGGGGTATAACACATTCACATAAAGTCTGGTCCATAGTCCAAAGGCAAGAGGCGGGCAAGCAGCCCCCTCCAAGGACACGTGGCGAGGCCGGTTTCGCCACATTTCTCCCCTTTACCATCCAAACTAACAGGGTATCTGACCTCCTGCCGGTCAGTGCCCTGGTTAGTCCAGCAACCCACCCACGAAGCACAAACAGCAATACAGCCCACCCACAATAACTGGTTACTACACCTGGATAAAATAGCAACTTGTCCATGTCCAGGTGCCTCACCACAGCTGTGCGGGGGGCTGGTAGACTGCCTTGGTGGGTTGCTGAGTGGGCAGAGACCAGCGGTACTCTGCCCGGGTGCCAGCGCTACCACTGAAGTAGCCTGGTTGGAGCCTGGTTGGGGGAGGGGGAGACCGACTGTCTCCCCTCTGGATACACTGCTCTGTGGCTGGGGGACAGGACCGACCGTCCCTACCCCTGGTGCTGCAAGTGCAGAGACTACGGTCCCATCTGCATAGTTGTGGGGCTTAACATCTCCCCTTGGTGGGTTAGGCTGCCGCTGGAGAGAGGGTGTAACAAGCTCCTCTCTCTGAACTGTAGACTGCCGCTGGGGAGAGGGGGTAACCTGCTCCTCTCCCTGACACTCTCTTTGCTGGTGGAGAGGGGGACCAACTGTCTCCCCTTTCAATATTTTGTCCTGCGGCTGGGGTGCGAGACAGATGGTCTCTGCTTCCTGGGGTACACACTGCCGCTGGGGAGGAAGGACGGCACCTTCATCTCCCTGGGGTACACGCTGCCGCTGGGGAGGGGGGGTAACAAGCTCCTCTCCCATACATACTTTCAGCCGCTGGGGAGAGGGGATAACAAGCTCCTCTCCCTGACACTCTCTCTGCTGTTGGAGAGGGGGACCAACTGTCTCCCCTTTTAATATATTTCCCTGCTGCTGGGGAGTGAGACCGACTGTCTCCGCTTCCTGCCGGACACACTGCCGCTGGGGAGGAAGGACTGCACCTTCTGCTCCCTGGGGTACACACTGCCGCTGGGGAGGAAGGACTGCACCTTCTGCTCCCTGGGGTACACACTGCCGCTGGAGATCTGGGCCGACCGCCCAGCATCCCTGTAGGGCCGGTAGAGAGACCGCCATCCCATCTCCACCTGCCATCTGTGGGTCTTCCCAGGACCAGTCTATGAGGTCCCCTACTTCTGCCGCTGGTAGTGAAGCAGGGGGTACCTCGGCTGCATTTTCCCAGCTGTAGGTTGGCAGGTCTGGGTCTCCCAGCCAGTTTTCCTGTTCTGTGTCTATGCCCTGTGGCTGACATGAGTTTAGTAGTTCCACATAGTCCATCTCTAGCTGTCGTTCCATGGCAGCCAAACGGTGGAGGTCTTGTCCCAGTCCCATAGATCTCGGGCCCTGTACCATCTCACCCGGTAATAAAAAATAGCCCAGTACCGTGACTCTGCTGGACTGCCAAAGTCGACGTCTTCTGCTAAGGCCTTCCACAACAGGCCAGGGCTAGTGTAGTTCTCCCCCTCCGGCTGGATGCCCTCTGCCCTCCATGTCTCTGGCTGGACAGTGCACCACCACAGTGCCCTGTATGAGGCGTCAAGGCTCAGTTCCCTTTCCACGAGGTACTCAAGTTGTCTGACCTGCTGCCCTCCGGGTTGGTCTCCCAGAAGCGGCATCCGCCAGGCCATTTGTTCCTCCAACCGGTATGCGACACCAGGAAGGCGCTGCTGCCGTTGATACTGGACTTCCTCCAGGGCATTGTACCATAGTTCTTGCCGGGCAATATCTCTCCAGTCCAATTCACCCTCTTCCTCAGGTGTGCGAGGTGCCCAAGGATCCACGAACCCCATTTTCCCAAATCTTTATGTAGACAGGGACGCTGTATAAACACTAGCGTCGCCTTCAATTTGTAAATCCAAACGACTGTGTCTCTGAGCTGCTTTACCTCGCACTAGGACGCCATCCCACCGCTGCCACCAATGTAACGGATCGCCTGGCACCCCGACTGGGTACCTCCGTTGAAGGATGCTCCTAGCGCTTCCTGAGGACTCCAAGCACTGCAGCAGACACCACAATCACCGAACCGGAGAAGCAAATAAATTCTCCTCAAGCATATGAATGCTGTAGACAGTTGAATAGGAACCATACAAATAGGTTTACTCTCCTAGCAGTCAAACTGGAACAGCATACAATAAATCCTTCCCCCAATAATGAGACGACACTTCACTTTGAGGGTTAAAACAGGAACTCCCTGTACTGTCACATACAGTCTCTTTTATTCCCAATCCACAAACATAGTACAGCCCACAGGGCGTTACAAAACAACCAATCACATACAGTTACATCCCACATATTCCCTCCCCTTATCCTGAGAGGAAACTCAATTATACATACAGTTAAAACATACTTCTACCCAACTTTCATAACTCCAAAACCATACATCACATTCACATAAAATTACATATTCACAATCAATCCATTCAGGGGAACAACATATTCAAAAATGGCACAAATCAGACAAGAGGTTCAAAAGTTAGTAAAAAGTCCTTTGTGACTAAATGAAGCATGGCTTTCTGGCCCAAACCAGTTTCAGAGTCTTCTATCCTGGAGAGTAATTCAATTATCTCCCAGGACAGACACAAGACTCCATTAGGCACATGGTTGCAAAAAGACACAAAACACTTTAAAATACATAAAGTCACATTTTACACATAACACACAGACATTTCACATATCCCCAGATAGCTCAGGTCTGAGTGCACATTATTAAGTGAATGACGCTCGGACCACACAAATACAGTTTAATCGCCATGGAGCCAAAGTCTTTACAGTCAGTTTCATACGAATGGGCTCCATGGGATTCCTATCTGGGGTATAACACATTCACATAAAGTCTGGTCCATAGTCCAAAGGCAAGAGGCGGGCAAGCAGCCCCCTCCAAGGACACGTGGCGAGGCCGGTTTCGCCACACTAACTATTGCAGAGAATGAACAGCATGGCTGAGATGGAACAATTCATTAATGGGCCCCAGGCTGCAAGAGAGAACTGCTGGTAATTACTCTTTTGTCTCAGAAACCATAACTTGTCTTTGTGACTTCTGCAATTGGTGTTGTGTGTTCCTCTTGCAAGCTTGAAGAACTATTTTGGGAGGTGGTGACATGGTCAGTGCAGACATGACCACACATGTCGGGTGTGACAGTTACAAAATTTGTAGAATCTCAAAGAAAGCACAGACCCTTCTAGAAAAAGACTAATGCAGGTCCCTGAACCAAATTCTTCTCTTTTGCCCCATTTACTATGACGCTTAAAGGGACCCTCTCATTAGAACACTTTTCATGGCTATCACGTTACACTTTAAAACCTGTTCTCTATCCCTTGCCTATGGTTGTTTTTTGTTAAATTCGCTCAATAGTTTGTTTATGTGATTTGAACAGAATTAAGGAATTCTGGCGTTCAGTTATAGAACAAATGGAATGTGCATCATGCGACCAGTGAAACAACCGCATTCTCCTCCCAGCGCTAGAGATTGCTGGGAGTGAAAGGGTTAACTCATCTGTTTCCACCTCACTTCTGATTGGCTGCTGGCATCCTGTCCTCAGATTTTTTATAACAATATCATTAGAGGCTTTGTTATTCACTAACGTGTGATGTGTCAGGATTTCAAAATGAATTTTCCATTTTTTTGGCACAAACTGTAAAAATTCACAGCCTGGTCTTTTGGCTCATTCATTTTGAGTTTGCATCAATACCCGCTTTACAGAATAAGCCTGAGTTTTTTTTATAAATGGCAATGTATTGCCACACACAATCACTGACCACACAATCAGCAAAGCATCATGGGAATTGTAGTCCCATTGCAGCAGGTGCCCAGTCAGACATGAATAATCCTTCCCATACTGATGTCTTTGAGGTGCAAGGATGGAGCAAATGAGGAAGGATAAGATGGCGCAAACAATACGTTCATTATGCTTGTGGTTAATCAGTCACTGCTGTCTGATTTGCCTAGAACCAATTTGTATAATTCACAAGGACCGTATACAGAGAATTACTGAGAACGAGGACGTTAGCCCTTGGTGTGCCTGGGGGAGGTGAACTAATTGCACACTGCTATTGAACACCAAGGGTTAATCTCCTGCTCTCTGTTTCAGGAGAATTTTTTGAAAATGTAGCAACAATCAGCAAAGTGTCCTCTTGTGTTTTTGTCCTATAAACAGAAAGCACTATAAGAGCCGTAGCGCCCGGGTCGTGTATCTGGTGGAGACTGTGCTGGAGCGACACTTGCAGGATGCATTTCAAGTCTACGCAGTCAGCCCAGTCTGTCTATCCATCTCGCACCCCAGCTCCCATCTCCTCTCTCGCACTAATCCCAAACTCTGAATCCTCTCTCTCTCGTCCTCCCCTTCCTTCTAACTCTCCGGCAGAGCTCCTGCAGCCTGGGATAGAGAAAGCGTAAGTGAATAGAGGGGATGATATAAAAATAATTATATATATTCTTTATATTTTTAGTGTCCGTGGGCCTATCGCATGTTTCTAGAGCTGTTGCTCCATTAGCCCCTATGTTAATCCGGCCCCTGGCAGTCAGACTCAGTGTGTCTGTATCATGCAATTGTTTAACTTCCTCTTCTTCTTTTTCTACAGCGCTACTGCATATGCTGGGTCTTTCGGAATGAATATTGTTGTTTAGGGGTGTCAGTCGGCGTTTGCCGTAGACATGCAATTCCCCTGAATTCAGAATCAGCCGCCAGTAATGCTTATCTCATCACGCATTCTGCATATTACACTGTATAATCTCAAGGACGGCCATGCAGCACTGCCTACACATTCAGCACAAAATACTTCATATTCTTAATGTTTCAATGCACCTCATACTGTTTGGAATCCAGCCTCTCAGATGCCATTACTAGAATATTTCTGCTGCCCCTCACCCTGGCTTGCATACCTTACACGGGGACAAGGCTTCATTCATGATGTTATTAACAAAGGGATCAGTGATCATTGGAACCATGAGTCCAGAGTGTTTATTATATGTTATATGATGGTAAACTCAGGGTTAACAGTATCTCTGTACCTGAACCAAATAAGGATCACATTATAATGTATTACACCAGGATTGATAAAGGATAACAGTGATATAGAAAGGGCAGTAGATACCAGGAATATCCATCCAGTGGGAGTAGTAACAGTGATATAGAACGTGTAGTAGATACCTGGAAGAGCCTTCCAGTGGGAGCAGTAACAGTGATATAGAAAGGGTAGTAGATACCTGGAATAGCGTTCCAGTGGGAGCAGTAAAGGCTAACAGTGATACAGAAAGTGTAGTAGATACCTGGAATAGCCTTCCAGTGGGAGCGGTAACAGTGATATAGAAAGGGTAGTAGATACCTGGAATAGCCTTCCAGTGGGAGCGGTAACAGTGATATAGAAAGGGTAGTAGATACCTGGAATAGCCTTCCAGTGGGAGCAGTAACAGTGATATAGAAAGGGCAGTAGATACCTGGAATAGCCTTCCAGTGGGAGCAGTAACAGTGATATAGAAAGGGCAGTAGATACCTGGAATAGCCTTCCAGTGGGAGCAGTAACAGTGATATAGAAAGGGTAGTAGATACCTGGAATAGCCTTCCAGTGGGAGCAGTAACAGTGATATAGAAAGGGCAGTAGATACCTGGAATAGCCTTCCAGTGGGAGCAGTAACAGTGATATAGAAAGGGCAGTAGATACCTGGAATAGCCTTCCAGTGGGAGCAGTAACAGTGATATAGAAAGGGCAGTAGATACCTGGAATAGCCTTCCAGTGGGAGCAGTAACAGTGATATAGAAAGGGTAGTAGATACCTGGAATAGCTTTCAGTGGAGCAGTAACAGTGATATAGAAAGGGTAGTAGATACCTGGAATAGCCTTCCAGTGGGAGCAGTAACAGTGATATGGAAAGGGTAGTAGATACCTGGAATAGCCTTCCAGTGGGAGCAGTAACAGTGATATAGAAAGGGTAGTAGATACCTTGAATATAAACAAAAAATATACAGATAGGATAAGCACTAGAGTGTCAACTGAGTATAATTATATGATAGCGGGCAGCAAACACTAATAGTAAGGGTCACCTTCAACCCCCCTGCTGAAAGATATTGAGAAAACAATATACACAAAATATAGGTTGCACGAATATAAAGTCCAATTAGTTCACAATTGCTGGAGTTTATACTCAACTGGTTACCGCCCAGACTTCAAATAGTGGGGGTATATGAAATTAAAGCAGAAAATAACCAGTGATGGTGCAGAGCATATGGAAGTAGGTGCAGGACATACAACAATAATGTATATGGTATATCACTCACATATGAGAGAACTACGAGACCAGCTCTGAGTTTAGCAGCATGCAGCCGTACAATCCCCACTGATGGATATGTAGATCTGGAGGCTGGTCCCTCAATGTGTAGTCTGATATATAAAATATAAAAATGGCAAACAATAGTGCTCACTGTAATCAATATATTGATGGTTATAAAAGTAAGAATATTCTACTCACATGTAGTGGAGCAGTAGATGCTTCTCAGATAGTAGCGCTTGGGTGGTATAATCCCGACCAGGGATATGATGTTAAGTATTTTCTCCAAGGAGTGGTATCCAAATTTTTCTTATTCAGTATTTTTTTAAGTGCCAGGAACAGAAGAAACTAAAAAATAATAATAGCAACTATAAGCATAAAATCATAATAAATTGACAAACACAACTAGTACTGAATGCCAAATATACTTTAATGCTTTAAAAACAAAAGTTAAAATAACACAACGCGTTTCGCCAACTGGAGGGCTTTCTCAAGTGTAAATAATGGAGGCCAGGCACTTAGGAGTTTATATAGGGAGAAGTAATTTTCAAATGGAGAAATTTGCCACCAAAGTCCCTTCCCGGCGCCAGATTCCAAAATGGTAGCCGTGACACTTCCTGTTTCCCCAGAAGTACAGCTAACATAGTAGTTGTTATTAGTGTTTTTAACTACTTTCTAAGCCTAGTTTCCACATCAAATTACCTTTATAGAGGCACAGAATCCAGTACTACTGGACCGTTGCCTTATTTTCAATTTTTATAAATCCTCTTATAGTTTAACATTACTTAATTATAGGTCATGTGACCCGGTTTTAAACATGGAGTAATCATTTTTTTTAATAATGCAATTGTTTTATTACTAGTCACAGTATACCACTTATGTCTTTTTGTTCTGTTATGTTTTCATTCCATTTACAACCCACCAAACTGACCTTTGCTCTCCACGTACGACCCCAGTTGAGGTCAAAGTTGACATATGATGTAATTTTGGCGGCAAATGACTCCATTTGAACCTGACATCTCCCTATATAAACTCCTAAGTGCCAGGGCTCCATTATCTACACTTGAGAAAGCCCTCCAGTTGGCGAAACGCGTGTTGTTTTAACTTTTGTTTTTAAAGCATTAAAGTATATTTGGCATTTACTACTAGTTGAGTTTGTCCATTTATTACGAGTTATGCTTTTAGTTGCTTTTATTATTTTTTAGTTTCTTCTGTTCCTGGCACTTAAAAAGATACAGAATAAGAAAACTTTGGATACCACTCCTTGGAGAATCTACTTAACATCATATCCCTGGTCGGGATTATACCACCCAAGCGCTACCATCTGAGCAAGATCTACTGCTCCACTACATGTGACTAGAATATTCTTACTCGTATAACCATCAATATATTAATTACAGTGAGCACTGTTGTTGGACATTTTTATCTTTTATATATCAAACTACACATTGAGGGACCAGCCCCCATATCTACATTTGGTAGAAAATACCTGGAATAGCCTTCCAGTGGGAGCAGTAACAGTGGTGTAGAAAGGGTAGTAGATACCTGGAATAGCCTTCCAGTGGGAGCAGTAAGAGTGATATAGAAAGGGTAGTAGGTACCTGGAATAGCCTCCCAGTGGGAGCAGTAACAGTGATATAGAAAGGGTAGTAGATACCTGGAATAGCCTTCCAGTGGGAGCAGTAACAGTGATATAGAAAGGGTAGTAGATACCTGGAATAGCCTTCCAGTGGGAGCAGTAAGAGTGATATAGAAAGGGTAGTAGGTACCTGGAATAGCCTCCCAGTGGGAGCAGTAACAGTGATATAGAAAGGGTAGTAGATACCTGGAATAGCCTTCCAGTGGGAGCAGTAACAGTGATATAGAAAGGGTAGTAGATACCTGGAATAGCCTTCCAGTGGGAGCAGTAACAGTGATATAGAAAGGGTAGTAGATACCTGGAATAGCCTTCCAGTGGGAGCAGTAACAGTGATATAGAAAGGGTAGTAGATACCTGGAATAGCCTTCCAGTGGGAGCAGTAACAGTGATATAGAAAGGGTAGTAGATACCTGGAATAGCCTTCCAGAGGGAGCAGTAACAGTGATATAGAAAGGGTAGTACATACCTGGAATAGCCTTCCAGTGGGAGCAGTAACAGTGATATAGAAAGGGTAGTAGATACCTGGAATAGCCTTCCAGTGGGAGCAGTAACAGTGATATAGAAAAGGTAGTAAGTCTCATGCTGACTGGCAGTGTAATGGGTACAGATGACATGTAGAAAATCCCCCCAGGTGTTTTTAAGATGGAGATTTATTTATTATACATTGTAATCCGGTTTATTAATACACTTGTTTTAAACATTTCTTTGTTAAATAAACAATTACCGACAAAATGCAATTCTATCACAGGAAGAATTTTAACAGTTTATTAACAATAAGAAAGTGAATTTTTTATCCTACTTTTATGAAACTGTTAATATTAATTTACTGTAATTGCAGCATGTCCTGCTCTGACCCGGTTTGGCGAATGACCCCCTTACCCTGGAATCGGGGGGTTTTCTTACATGGATGTGCAAGATTGTGTTTGCAATGTCGCATACATTAACCCATTGTTTATCTGCCATGCGCACAAAATGTGACATCCGTGAGCAGTCTTGGTGCTGCAGACGGCTGTTTCCTGTATGTCCCATAACTCTCAGTGATCATTCCACTCTCCCTGTGGATCACTGGTAATGAAATCTACAAACATCTGTAGAGTGCAGGGTACATAGAAACTCTATACAATGCATTAAAAAGAATTAGAGCTGGGGGGCGGGGCCTGGCAACCAAAATGGCCGGTCGCACACTCTAAGAGCTCCTGCATTACAGAGCACAAACAAGCTACCACATAGCTATCCTCAAACGCTAGCAACTCACGGTGACCAGGGATCCACTCAAGATACCATGAGTAACAGAACGGTACCGGTCCGGCACCGATGCGTGGCGAAACGCCCTATATCGACTATGCGGCCTACAACGGAGCGGAGCCTGAGGTCTGGGGGAGGCGGCCGATCTCCCGACACAAGACCCGCTCGCATGCGTGAAATCAGCACAACCCTGTTACCCCCCCCTCTGGACCGGCGGGGGATATCCCGGTCCTCGCTGGGGACGATCACCCCCACACCAACGTCTGACCAAGCGACTACACCCAAAGCAACACAGGCATATCCAGGCCCACACAAGATGGCGGCACTGACACAGCCTACCACTAAACGTACTCTAATCAAACCTCCCAAGCACTCACGGGAGTTCTTCGACCAGATCTGCGCCAGCCTTTGGATAAAGCTCCAGGCTCAGAGACGGCCCTACATGAGGGCGATCAAAGAGGTGGCGGCGTGGATCCGCCCAGCAATCCGGCGCCACTTAGGCTGGAATCCCCCTCGTGTCCCCAGAGTGGCCCACCAGCGGAGCCGGAGACCAGCACAGAGGGAAACAACGCCAAGTATCCTAGGCACCAGCACTGGTGCTCCCACGCCTCGGAGGGGATCCTGCAAATATGCCAAACCCGCCTACACCTCAGCGGCCCCAACTGCCATCACCCAGCAGGGCGCAACCCCTCGATATGACACTCACAATACCGGCCGCACCGCAGTTCGGGAGGCAGAGAGGCTGGATGCCGGAAAGGGACATGGACGGTATGCCCCTCCGCGGCCCATGGGGGAGAGGACATCGATCCACAAGCACAACAAGCAGATCCTGCCTGCTTGCAACTCACCAAACCCAAGCCCGTCTGACCAGCACGGCACGAAGCACCAGCTCCAGGATCATGCTGCACGCCATGAGGCCGCACAAGACATAACCCCGCTGACAACTGTAAGAGCTGGAACCGGGCCCAGGCACTTCACCGACGGGACCAGTTGTACCGGCTACAGAGACATTCCCACACTGGGCATCGGCTGAAAGGCCTCTCACCCTGCCCCACAGCTGACAGACCTTGAACCACCCCATGTGGGCACACTCCACGGCTGTCTCAGCTGCTGCCGGCATACCCTGATACCTGCCGGGTTGGTAACCCTTACATCACTGAACTCTCTTGTATCTGGCAAGGGGAGACTTTTGCCAATGTTAACGTGCATTAGTTGGTACATGATCATTGTGACCTAATTGTAGTTCAACCCTCATTGCCTGTTATATGCCCTGCTCGTATGTCTCACACATAGGCGCGATTACCCAGAGAAACGGCCTAATAGGGGGATACACAAAAGCCTGCTAACACTATAGTGAGCCTGTCCTAAAGATCCCTACCCACCACACTTAACGGGCTACCTCGGTCACCCTAAGCAGGTCTCCTTAATTGACCAAAGACCGTCACTGTATGAGATCATTGTGGTCCGCACCCCTAGCGACCCTCATTAAAGAGCCTAATGACATCCCTTACATTATGCAACCACCCCAATTGTATTAGCACAGATTCAAAATACCATATCTGTATCCCACCTTGTAACACACTGTAATCATTAAGCGCTGCAGGAAACACCCTTGGGGCAAGCAATGCTCAGCCACATAGATGCAAATACTTACCTTACAGATGCATACGTTTATACTTACCTTACAGAAGCATATGTTTGAATTATTAGAAACTTTAGCATAAAATTATATCTATTCATGTGACATAACGTTTCAGCTTTCGCCTGTCTTTAATATAAAAAAGTGCTGTTTTATTGTATGCCATACCAAGTTCAATGCTACTACCCAACTTGCTATTGCTGTTGTGGCATCGCAAGAAAATGTTCACTGTCTTTTCATGCACAAGAAAAATAAAGCATTAAAAAAAAAAAAAAAAGAATTAGAGCTACAAAATGGATTTGTTTTACGAAAACAGAATAATATTTAGGGTTTGACTTTCCTTTTAAAAAATTAATTAAATAAAAGCGGAAGCCTGCGGTGTTTTATCAGATATGTGTTACCAGCGAGGGCAGTAAATAATATAGACAGAACTACACACCTTTGTCACCCTAGGGGTTACGATTGTACAATAACAGATACAACAAATTCTCACGTTGGATTAACTTTATCTTCCCTTTTGCAAACATTGGCCAGTGCCAGATTAGGACATTACTGGGTGGTGCGGAAACCATGACTTTAATTAGATTTACTAAAGTGTCCTGTCCGAACGGCTGCCAGATCTCAATTTCCCCCTCTCTCCCTCTTTGGTTCTTCTAATAAGGAACCCTTAATTCCTATTGATTCTTTATAACATAAGCAGGACGTTAAGGTTTATTTACTAAATAATGAATTGTGTTTAACTGGAAGAGATGGACAATTTTTCCAAACCGGCTGAGTTATTTGATTTTCATTCACCACAATTCCATATTTTATGAACAAAGTGTCAAACTAACCCTGTATACAAATTATATCAACGTTTAGATTGTAAGATGGTTTGGGCAGTGCCCTGGTCGGCTATTGCTCCCGTATATCAAACATGTTGTCTTAGAAGGTAAATGTTTTGTTTACCTTCTGTACAGCGCTGTGGACTATGTTGGTGCTGTATAAATATTTTTAATTTATATGTAAACATCTTGAATGCACGGGGCAGGATAGCAATGATTTTAGCTGTAGTATGTATTTTTCAAATGCAGCCCATTGCAGATAAAGTTGCAGGATACATTGTAAGATATTCTCACGTAGTTACTTACCAGTAGGGAGTGATTTATTAATCTGCTGTGTTTCTAACCAGCGCAGGTGGAGACTCCATATCTTTGTCCAGGTTTTGGGCCTCCAGGCGCCTAGTTTGCTTGAAGGGAGAGGAGGAATATAGCTCGCATACCTCAGCACAGGCCCCACACCAATATCCTGACTGCAGAGCTGGCTCCCAGTCCCAGCTCCTGGAAGTGAATGAGATCCAAATCCTGCACTAGGGTTTTACTGTACACAGGATTACGATGATTGGCTGGGGCTCCACACCGCTCGGGATCAATCGGTGAGGACTGCGAGCTCCTGGCACTTGCTGGAACAGAAACCAGCTTGTTGGAACGTGTGATAAAGCTGCACTATCTGTGTTTATTCCCAGAGCCCGCTGCAGCTCAGGAATCACTCGCTTCCACGGATCTGTAATGTCCTGTTAGCCCTGTAATTAATAAATACATGTGTGTGAGCTGTGATTAATTACATTTAATGTAGAATCCCACACCTTTATCCCATAACTGGGCGCCTCCATCTTAGCTCCTGGTCAGTCATTGTTATACGCTCTTCACACACACAGTCAGCACAGACAGGAGGAGAAAGTTCTAAAAGTGAGGCAGTTACCACGGAAACCAGTGGTGGCATTGGTGACTTTGCCCTCTTTTATTCTTAGCTCCTCTTTTATTACAGACAGTTTTATACACAACCCCCTGTTTCTGATTCCCCTCCTCCAACGCAGTGCCAGGGCGGAGCTGGACTATGGTGTCATTTGTTAACCCTTTAATATAAAGTTTAAAGAGCTTACTTTTATCATAAATTATGTGTGATTTTCAATGTTATATCATAGAAACATAGAATGTGACGGCAGATAAGAACCATTCGGCCCATCTAGTCTGCCCAATTTTCTAAATACTTTCATTAGTCCCTAGTCTTATCTTATAGTTAGGATAGCCTTATGCCTATCCCACGCATGCTTAAACTCCTTTACTGTGTTAACCTCTACCACTTCAGCTGGAAGGCTATTCCAAGCATCCACTACCCTCTCAGTAAAGTAATACTTCCTGATATTATTTTTAAACCTTTGTCCCTCTAATTTAAGACTATGTCCTCTTGTTGTGGTAGTTTTTCTTCTTTTAAATATAGTCTCCTCCTTTACTGTGTTGATTCCCTTTATATATTTAAATGTTTCTATCATATCCCCCCTGTCTCGTCTTTCCTCCAAGCTATACATGCTGTACATACATAGGCGTGCGCAGCCTATTGCATTAGGGTGTGCACCCTAAAGCACAAACACACGCCGCATGTATATATATATAGTATATATATTGCCTGTCTGCAATACCTAAGCTACCTAACACGATGAAGGCGCTTTAGCAGACAGGCAGCTAGTATATCCAGACCGCTCTTCAAATTCTAGTTATTTGATCGGATCTATTTACTTTCTTGTTGGGAATTTGGGGGGCGTTATTGGGAACAAGGAGTTCGCTTATCAGGGGAGGGGTTGTCCTGACTTTACACAATATGCTAAGGGTAGCCTCTCTCTCTTATTTATAGAGATATCCTATGGTCTCTCCTATATAACTTTGGGCTTCTTTTGATTCAGATAGCCCATGTTCAAATCTTGAGCATGAGATACATTTTGCAACATTTTATGTGCACAATACTAGATCATTAGGATATTTTGTATATAGTAGTTGCCTTTAGAGTGACTCAATATTATAAGCTTGTTACTCCATTACCAATTTTGTTCCTTTGAGTGGAGATTTTTTTGTATCCATTAGTTGACATTATATTGCCTCATAAATTAGTAGGCAATTCATATACCCACATGGTACTACTAGTGGATATACTTGCATGCCTGTCTGTTTATTGATTATTTTTATTTTTTATTTTCTATCTTTACTTTTGGTCTCTATATTTTAATTTTTATTCTATGAATAATAAAAGTTATATTTTAATTCAATTCACATATACCTATTTGGTGGATAGAGGGACTTCCTACCAGTTATTCCAGAGATATTCTTTCTGGAATTCCCTCTCTCCTTATATTTAGCATATCCTTTCTTTACATTTGTTGGACAACTTGAAATTGTGATTCCACTTGTTTTTTCCTATAACCTTTATGGTAAAATTGTTCCTTCAAAATTTCTGATTGTTGCCTAAATGTATCATCTTCCTTACAATTTCTCCCGAACTGCAGAAACTGCCCTTTTTGAATTTTATCAAGCCATGGACTATAATCTCAACTTTATAAAATGTTTCTAAAACTGACGGTATCTACTATTTTAAAATGGGTCTTTGTGTAAAGGTTACCTTCAATAAATTGGTTCAGAAAATAACTTCCTCCTCTCCAAATAAAAAATATGCCACTGATCTATCTTTTGTATAGGGCCAAAGTTGCACTCAACTCGTGCTCTGAATAAATAAGAAAACCTTTCCCAATAAGCCATGAAAAGGCTGGCATAACTGGGTGCAAACTTGGTCCCCATTGCTATGCCGTTCATTTGAAGATAAAACTCATGCCCTGAATTTTATAATCTCACAGCTTTTTCCTTTTTCTGCTGAGACATGGGGTATTTAGTAATAGAGAGCTTCTTATTTGGCTCAGTATTTAGTTAATTTGTACCCTTGAAGGAACGATAGGCTGTTTTATTACTTTCACCAATTTTATATATCTATTTAGGGGTATTCTCTGTTCTTATACATTACACCATTTTAGCTACTTTTTATATTTATTGTGCTCTCTAAAGGTCTCTGGGAGTTGCACAGCAATAGTTTTTCTTTAGTTAGTAACTGTGTCCTAGCTAGTTATCACAGTATTTTCTCATTTTGATAATTTGTTGCAGGAGGTCATATCTCAAGATTGATATAGCTGTGGGAAATCACCATTTAAGCTGTGTGTGGTCCTTATCATGGAATTGTTGTTCTGAACTTTTTTACTTGGCAGCTAACTCATTTTAAGATAGAGCTAATAAAGTTATGGTTTGCAAAAGGTAAGAAACTGGGGGTTGGCTATCAAAGTGTCAGTTTTGCATATCTGTCAGTATGTTTGTCACTGTGTGTGTCTGTCTGTGTTTGTCAATATCTCTGTCAGTGTATGTGTCTGTGTGTGTCAATATGTCTGTCTGTGCATGTGTGTCAGTATGTCTATCTGTGCGTGTGTGTGTCAGTCTGTCTGTCAGTGTATGTGTCTATATGTGTGTCAGTATATGTGTTTGTATGTGTTGGTATCTTTGTCAGTATATGTGTCTGTGTATCTGTATGTTTTCAGTGTGTGTATCTGTGCGTGTATTTTTCAGTGTGTATATTTGTATGTAGTCAGTGTGTGTCTGTATAGCAGTGTGTTTATCCCAGTGTGTGGGGAAATGGTAGGGTCCCAGCTATCAAAGCATTTCTTTCGTTGCACAACAGATGGGGATCTACCTCTTGGCCACCTTTGCAATTGCAGGGCCCAAAATGTCTTGCACCAGGGCCCTCTCTACTATAGTTCTGCCACTGCACTGGGGTGGAGGACGTGACTGCATGTTAGGGAGTGGGGGGGGGGGAGGGGGGTCAAGGGCCCAAGAATTGCTTGCCAAGGGTCACACCTCCCTGCATGTGTCTTGCACAGCATTCCTAAACACTTCCTGTAAAGTGTCATCTAATGTGGATACTTAATTAACTGCACATTGTGTTTAATTTAGAATTTCTTATCTCCTGCTCTGTTAATAGCCTACAAGAGCTTGCAGGATCCTCCTGGGTGTGTGATTACAGTTCAGTTTACAGAGCAGGTGATAATACAAGTTAAAGGACTAAAAAGTGATTTCAGGTCATTTACTGCCCTCCAACATAATATATAAAGTGTTATTCACTGTTCAGGTGTGTGATGGTGACAGATTTAGTCTAAATAGTTGATGTTGATTTATGGAATTAAAAATGTAATTTAGAACAAGAACAATGTATCGAATTTCCACAACAATACCCGGGCTGGGAGCAGCTTCATTCCGATGGAGACGTGGACGATTCTCCAGTTTCTCTCTAGCTCTGCAGTAAAATAAACAGCTGTCTGTGTGCGATAAAGACTCACCTCGACCAGACTACTCTCTTTATAAACACTAGGCACCTTGGCCAATAGGAAGCCATTGTATCGCTCACTTCCTCATTCTCTGTATATGAGATACATGGACGCAAGGCCTGCAACAAATTCTTCCATAAAGTGATTTTATCAGTAAGTGCCAGGAATCCTGGCAAAGTCTGGCAAATGCAAAGCGTTTATTTTACTGAGTTTAGCTGCTCCAAGTGCAGGCAATCCTGGATAGATTGTGCAGCCAATGACAAGTGTATATATAACAGAAGTATGTGATATAAACTGCTTTCTTCCTGGCTCTAATATTCAGCCACAAATTATCTGTCTTTCTTCGTGACCGCTTGCCTTTCTGTGCTCATATACAAATGATATAACATACAGTCTATCCCTGGCTGCCATTGCCCCTTCCAGACAAATACTGAACATTCCTGCAATATTACTCTTTTAGGACACAGTATTATAACTATTTTTATTAGTTTTTTCCATCTTCCCCCACCTGCCCTTACCATTCCCACTGCTCTCCTCCACACTCTCTCTTAGCTTTAAGATGGTCCTTTCTACCTCACTCTATCTCCCAGGGGTATCTTAACTTTATCCCGCAAGAAGTAACTCATTCGCCTCTGTTTCACTGTAACGTATTGATTCATGTGTCAGAATAAAGTCTGCGCACCTCAGGAATGCCTTTACCCCCTTTATGACAGAGTTAGGCAAATCCCTTGATATCTTCACAGTCCAGGTCTCGAACGTTCTAACTAAAAGTTGGAAAGTTACTAAGTGAGAAAAAGAGAACTTAATACGGGTAAATGGTATTCTGGGAAGGGAGAATAGGACTTATAGTCACCATAGAGTCAATTACAGGAAACAATCTAAATATAACCATCATATAACCAAACAGAAATACACGTACCAAACATGATTCAAATAAAAGCCAACACACCCACAGCAAACTCTGCAAACATGTCTGATGGTTTTTATAGTAGTGTGAGTAAATGTATCTGTGTGTAATGTGTGTGAGAGTGAATGTATCTATAAGTAATGTGTGTGACTGGTAATGTATCTATATGTAATGTGTGTCCGTGTATTTACATGTAATGTGTGTGAATGTATCTGTAGGTAATGTGTGTGACTGGTAATGTATCTATATGTAATGTGTGTCCGTGTATTTATATGTAATGTGTGTCTGTATTTATATGTAATGTGTGTGAATGTATCTGTAGGTAATGTGTGTGACTGGTGATGTATTTATATATAATGTGTGTCTGTATTTATATGTAATGTGTGTGAATGTATCTGTAGGTAATGTGTATGACTGGTGATGTATTTATATGTAATGTGTGTCTGTATTTATATGTAATGTGTGTCCATGTATTTATATGTAATGTGTGTCCGTGTATTTACATGTAATGTGTGTGAATGTATCTGTAGGTATGTGTGTGACTGGTAATGTATTTATATGTAATGTGTGTCTGTATTTATATGTAATGCGTGAATGTATCTGCATTAACTGTGTGTTGTGTGTGAATGTATCTGTATATGAAATAGTTGTGTGATTTGTAGGATTGTGTGTGGATGGATCTTTATACAATGTATGTATATATATTTACTTTCTGTTTTATAGTTTGCATGTCTGAGTTGCTGGCCTTGTTTCGGAGAGATGTCGGATGACATTAAGCAGCCACAGGACTTAGGCCAGAAGTCCTGTCCATCCATCAATGTCGGCTAGCTCCATTATCAATACTGTGTAATGCCTGTCATCGATCATGACCAAGTTTCCTAATTCCAAGTCAATGTAAGTGCATTCTTAAGGCCAAATGTTCCATGTTTATCTTTGTACTAAACTGTGGTCATGGCTTTTGTAACAAATATATTCTGTATAAACATCTGGCTTCCCACCTCGACATTGACTCATATAGTTTAGATAAATTAAAAGCTGCAGTAGGCTCGGTGATGGGGTCTTACATGAAAAGGCATGCTGCCGGCATTGAATGTATTGGGTAAGTGATATACAGGGGATGCAGAGGGGACAGTGCACAGATTCATCAATGTACTTTGTTATTGTGTAAAACTAGAACAAACTCAAATCGCTACGGGCCAAGCCACATTCAGCAAAACAGGAACATTGCCAATATTCCTCTAAAATCCATAAACAAAGAAACCCAATAGGAAATATCACTGAAACACGGGAGATCCTCTGCCGACACAGGTCACATGACCCAACAAGGCACGCAATCTAATGGATTAATCTGGAGTTAGATACATGGATTCTAATGGAATCATCTGGAGTTAGATAGATACATGGATTCTAATGGAATCATCTGGAGTTAGATAGATACATGGATTCTAATGGAATCATCTGGAGTTCGATACATGGATTCTAATGGAATCTTCTGGAGTTAGACACATGGATTCTAATGGATTAAATGGATTCTAATGGATTAAATGGATTCTAATGGATTAATCTGAAGTTAGATAGATACATGGATTCTAATGGATTAATCCGGAGTTAAATAGCTACACGGATTCTAGTGGATTCATCTGGAGTTAGATTGACACATGGATTCTAATGGATTAATCAGGAGTTAAATAGATACATAGATTCTAATTGAATCATCTGGAGTTAGATACATGGATTCTAATAGAATCATCTGGAGTTAGATACATGGATTCTAATAGAATCATCTGGAGTTAGTTACATGGATTCTAATAGAATCATCTGGAGTTAGTTACATGGATTCTAATGGATTCGTCTGGAGTTAGATAGACACATGGATTCTAATGGATTACACAGATTCTAATAGAATAATCTGAAATTAGATAGATACATGGATTCTAATGGAATCATCTTGAGTTAGATACATAAATTCAACTGGAATCATGTGAAATTAGATACATGAATTGTAGTGTAATCATCTGGAGTTAAATAGATACATGGATTCTAACGGAATCATCTGGAGTTAGATAGATACATGGATTCTAACGGAATCATCTGGAGTTAGATAGATACATGGATTCTAATGGAATCATCTGGAGTTAGTTAGATACATGGATTCTAATGGAATCATGTGGGGTTAGTTAGATACATGGATTCTAATGGAATTATCTGGAGTTAGTTAGATACATGGATTCTAATGGAATTATCTGGAGTTAGTTAGATACATGGATTCTAATGGAATCATGTGGGGTTAGTTAGATACATGGATTCTAATGGAATCATCTGGAGTTAGTTAGATACATGGATTCTAATGGAATCATCTGGAGTTAGATAGATACATGGATTCTAATGGAATCATCTGGAGTTAGATAGATACATGGATTCTAACGGAATCATCTGGAGTTAGATAGATACATGGATTCTAATGGAATTATCTGGAGTTAGATAGATACATGGATTCTAATGGAATCATCTGGAGTTAGATAGATACATGGATTCTAACGGAATCATCTGGAGTTAGTTAGATACATGGATTCTAATTGAATCATCTGGAGTTAGATAGATACATGGATTCTAATGGAATTATCTGAAATTAGATATATACATGGATTCTAATGGATTAATTTGGAGTTAAATATATACATGGTTCTAATGGAATCATCTGGAGTTAGATACATGGATTCTAATAGAATTTTCTGGAGTTAGATACATGGATTCTAATGGATTCATCTGGAGTTAGATAGACACATGGATTCTAATGGATTACACGGATTCTAATGGAATCATCTGAAGTTAGATAGATACATGGATTCTAATGGATTAATCCAGAGTTAAATAGATACATGGATTCTAGTGGATTCATCTGGAGTTAGATTGACACATGGATTCTAATGGATTAATCTGGAGTTAAATAGATACATGGGTTATAATGGAATCATCTGGAGTTACATACATGGATTCTAATGGATTCATCTGGAGTTAGATAGACACATGGATTCTAATGGATTAAACGGATTCTAATGGAATTATCTGGAGTTAGATAGATACATGGATTCTAATGGATTAAACGGATTCTAATGGAATTATCTGGAGTTAGATAGATACATGGATTCTAATGGAATCCTCTGGAAGTAATGTGGGTCTTGTTAATTGCATTAGTCAGGCTCAGTGTGAGCAATATTTTAACCTAATAATATAATCTTATCTTATTTCAGTTGTGACATATTAGCTGATCAACAGGACATTTCCTGCTTTCCATGAACCACTGCTGAATTGGGCAGACATTGGAGGTGACACTAATGGGTTTATTTACTAAAAAGTGAATTGTGACGAATAGAAATCACAAAATTTCAATTAAACTAGCCAAGCTGCGACTATAGCTGAATGATTTAGTTTTTTTTCAAAATGAGACATTTTCACCTAAATTGTGCATTAGATTTTTAATTCAGCACAATTCATTGTTTAGGAATCATCCATAGGGCGTTTACATGAGATAGATATAATCTCACATTGAGGCAGGATCTGATAGAACAATGGCTGTTTGTTTTCTTACTACATAAAACTATACAATACACAAATGCCATTACCTGTACAGTGAAATAAGTGCCATGATGGTAGTGTGCCTCCCAGAATTCCCTGCAGGGCATGGAAGGCATTTTTACATTTACACTTGATCGGACATGTAAGGTGCCAACCAGCAATTAATAGGCTCTACAGTGGGTTAATGTCATGTATTCATCCGCACATAAAAACGTGATTAATGGCATTTACTCTTCTGGCAGGAAAAGTTGTGCCGAACAGCAATCAGATCCACAGGAGGTTTGTGCTGAGCAGCCATCATGCAAATTGGAACCTGGTAACTGCCTTTGGGGTCAAAGGCCGGTTACAGCCTATCAGATCTAGAGGAGGGGTATTTAGGCCCAGTTCTCCTCTTGCTCAGTGCCCTGTCATGGTTTCCCTTGTGGTTGTCCGAGAGCACGTTATTGATTCTGGTTATTTGACCTTGGCATTGGCATTGTTTTTGACTTCCCTGTTTTCTGGCATCCCTGACTCCTGG